TATTTAAAAACTATACCTAGAAACTAATATACTATATTTAAAAACTATACCTAGAAACTAATATACTTTATTTAAAAACTATACCTAGAAACTAATATACTTTTTTTAAAAACTATACTTAGAAACTAATATACTATATTTAAAAACTATACTTAGAAACTAATATATTTTATTTAAAAATTATACTTAAAAAAAAAAACTAATATACTCTATTTAAAAACTAATTATACTTAGAACTAATTATATTTAAAAACGTTAATTATTGAAATTAAATTTAATTCAATTGTTAGTTAAAAAATAAATGACATCAATCAACAAACACTGATACACACAGTGTCCAAATTATCACAAAAATAAAAATCGTTCTTAGCGCTTAACGATCGACAATATAATATACACAGATAGAGTATTATAATCGAAAGGGATAAAAAAAAAGGGGGAAGAGAAATAGAGAAAGAGAGAGAAAAGAAATGTAACTCTTTTCAGTTATTTTGGGACACAGGGATCGTGAGCCTCGTTGCGTTCCCCCCTCAGTCGGTTTCTGCCAGATACCGATATCAACCGGCACAAAAGACCCCGTTGTACAAGAAATGATCACGGTTATGGAAAATGAACGACCCCCATTAATTATACCATTGTACGCTCGATAAACGTTCACGAGCTGCTGCTGCTGCTGCTGCTGCCGCCACGCTGCTGGCTGCATCGAAACGAATATATTTCAGATAAGCCCTCTCGATCTCGGTTTCGCGCGTTTACACGGCTCCGCGACAATATTTCAAGGTTACCGAATTGCACGCTGCAAATTATGCACCCAATGTGTTCCCATTCACGTGTTTCCTCCTTCCGGGCTTTGTGATTCTTGTAATTTGCGGTCTCGTTCGTTGAGACAGATGAGCAATGCAAACTTTGGAGAACTTGCGCGAAGATCAAATTGATCTCGATTAATTGTCAGACGATCTCTGAAGAATTAAAATACTTTATAGCTTCGCATTTCCCATAAATTTTCGTCAAAATCGGCAACCCAATTCTCGACGTTCTCGCCTGGACAGTAAGGGAGTAAAGAATTAAACGTTAATTATTTAATTAATCAGGGAATTATCGAAAAGTCTGAGTGGTTTATAAAATTGGTGATCTTCGCGTTCTTGCGTATGTGTGCATTATAATTGACAATATGATTTCCTGAAATGGGAATGGTTCGTTTCAACTTTTGCAAGGGAAGTGAAGTTATTATTTTATCACGATGCTAAAGTCAGAGGGGGTTTTCGCGTGTCGGCGTTCGCCAGCGTTGATCAGACACGTTCGTGATGTCGTTTTCTCGAATAACGCGGAACAAACGCATTAGGAGGAAGTATTATTTCATTAGCGTCGCGTGTCTCGAGCCGCATTAAGCGAAATTGAGCGCGAGCTCTCCGGCCAGGGAGAAAACTAAAGTAAGGTGTGTCCACCCGCTAACGCGCTAATAGCTTGCACAAATTAACCCGGTTGTTAATTAAGATCGAATCTAGATAGGAAGGGCTGTCAATTTAATTCAAAGCATTTCCCCTACGAAACTCGTTCCTCTCTTTTTTTTGTCGAGAAGTTCAAACAAATTCTAGTGATTCTAAGGAAAGTTCTTTCCAATCTAGATTATTACAGGCAAAAACATTTGACGAATTGAAATCAATTGTTGCAGGATCCCGTTCAGCGACCGGGCTGTCGAAGATCGACACACACCCGGAGGATGATGTGCTGTTCGTGTCGAGCAAGGACAGCGAAATCTCGGGCCTGTGGGTCAATTATCTCACTGCGTGTTTCGAACAGATCAGCAGGCAACAGGGCCGGCCGCCGTTCAAGTAAGCAACTTGCTATACTTCCGCCTTGTCGACAATGTTCCGAAACATTCGCCATTTGTTTACGATTATTATTAATTCCAACTGAACACTTCGAGAAGTGTACAAGTGGCAACGACGATCTGACGATTAACTCTTCCCGCAATTCCCGAATTCCTGCATTATTGCAGAGTTCGTCACGTAACAATCGAAGAGCCGATGCAACCTGGCGCCGAAGAGAGGATTCGATCGGCTCGCTTGCAGATCGTCGTCGTGTGTCCGATATTGTTGGAACGGGCGCAAAGTCGACCGGAGCAGGCGACCAACCTCTCCAGACAGTTGATCACCGACAAGGTGCTCGCGATGATGCTCGGCGTCCACGACAGCCACATCAGCGACGTGCACAAGTCGATCCTGGTCTCGTACAACCAGTGGCGGAAGTTCTTCGTGAAGGACCAGGACGAGACGTTCGTCGGCGAGTTGCTGGGCGCCGCGGTTGGAATCCTCGGCACAACGCCGCCGCCTGCGTTGAGGTGCGACAAAACCGCGTTCTCCGTGCACCCGAAGAAAGTAAAACTGGTGAGCAGAAAACCGTGATCGAAACCTCATCTAAACCGACGAACGATTTTGTTTAAATTAATCAGGGCTTAATTTTGTTAAACTGATTAAATTAAGGTTAAAAGTAAAAGCTGGATTTTATTAACTGGAAATGAAAATGGTTTCTTTTGACTCCTTTGCGCTGGCAACTGGTCCGCGGACCATAACGAGTGACCGAATAATTCGTCGCTTTCTTTTTCTTCTGATAGAAATTACTTAAGGAGCAATAAACTTGTCATTGGTTTTGCCTCGGTCACATTTAAATATAATACTTGAAAACCGAGAAAATGTTTGCAATTTGGAATAAACAGTTCTCGACGACACTGGAGAACTACTAAAGTGGTCAAAATAACCAATTTATAGTAATGTCCAATTATTGAAATTATAGAAATATAAAAATTATCTTACGATAATTTTATAGAAATATAGAAATTATAATCTTACTATAATTATAATTATAGAAATTATAAAAACATAGAAATTATAATCTTACTATAACTATAATTATAGAAATTATAATCTTAATTATAAAAGTACCGATGACCAATTTATAATTATAGACGTATGGTAATTTTTGAAAATTTGAATGATCTTTCGAGAAATGTGCAAATAAAAGCTTGTGTAATTTATTCTATTACAGAAGTCTTGCATTTTTTAACTTTAATGCTTCCGATGGAAATTTTACAGTTTGGTAGTTCTAGTGTTAAGAAAAGAATAACTTTTAATACCATATAAAGAAAAACGAAGAACTTTTAATACTATAACGACCTGCCGTGTTCGCGAGTATTTCTTCATCAGAAGCTCGTTTTTGTCAAGAATTTACAGATGTTGAAAATTAAGAAGAATAAGTGCGCTTGTATAATATAACACTTTAAATCTTATGTACAATCATTGTATTTCAATTTGAACTTAAACGAGCTTCACTACGGGAATTTATTTATTAAATTAAAAATTTATAATTCATTTGTTAAATTAAATGATACAGAGAGATGAAATATACTTTCAGGGTCACAATAGGATAATCGCGCTGTTGAACGACCCGCTACGACCCGAGGACAACGTGTCGGTGATCGTGGATCGTTGCGGCGAAGCGATCGACATCGCTCACGTGAAACGAAGAAATCCGTACGCGTTGCAGTTCTCCATTCCCGACAGATGCTTAGAGGTGTCGATGTTGGTCGGTGTTCGTATATCGAAAAACGGTTGTCCACTTGGCGTGAGGCAAGTGAAATGCGAGAGCAGGCTCAGGGAACTCGATCAGATCCTCAGAGCACACGACAATCCCTTAGAATTCATGTGCCAGGTAAAAATCAAAATCCCGATGGGAGTTTGACGAAACTTTGTTAAAAGAATTACGTACGAGGGGCGAGAATATTGATAAAATTTGCATTTTACTCGTAGACCTTTGGCTTCAATCCGGGTGACCGAGAGAAACTGGATAACTGGATGGTCCACGCGTTCCAACGAAACGTTCCACCGCACTTTAATCTTCTGTCCACGCCCAGTGGCGTAGTGTCTACTCAGAAAGTACACTCGAGTGAGTATTCCCTGATCACATCTGCTTTCATCATTGACAAACACTGTGAAATTAACCGTTGCTCGTTTTGCTTGCTGGACTGGCAGGAAGGCTGGTTGGTAAGAACTCAGACTGAATCTTCCCTTGAAAATTTTCTGCAAGCCAGAATTCGAATTTATTATTCTGAACACTTTTCAGAGTAAATCCTTAAATTACGATTTCTAGATCTCTAAGTTATCTGAATTTAAATTATGTATAAATTTAATATGATCCGGATATTTTTATTTTACCATTTACTATAATTACTCAAAATATATTGACTTTAGAAATTTCAATATCAATTATTATTCAAGCATACGTTTCTTTTTCAATTTTATTAACATTATATAATATTAAAAATGAAAAGAAATTTTCCCTTTTTGTAATTAAATTAAGTTATTAATTAAATTATAGTTAAATTAATTATTGTTATCACTTAATTTGACGAATTTACCAATTAGAATTATTTGATGAATTAATTTTAAAAATCTGTTTTCATTATTAATTATATCTCTTAGTTTAATTGTAATTAAAATTTTATGATCGCGAGATATCATTCGTGAAAGAACATTTATAGGTAATCGTACATTTTATATTAAAATGATATTAAAATTTGGAATAATTATATCTATCATTTCAGAATTATTTTTTTTCTATTTCATTTTCTTCAACGTTTTTTCACAGACCAATAATTCTAAATAATTAGAAAATGATGTAAAATTGTTAAATTTAATTAGGCCCCGAGGAGAATCCGACACTGTTGCATTTCGCCGCTCGTTTCGGCCTGGAGAGATTAGCCTGGCAGCTGCTGGAGTGTCCAGGCGGTGACATAGCGTGCGATCTGAGGAACGTGTCGGAACTCACACCTGCGGATCTTGCAGAGCAGGCGGGACACGCGAGACTGGCGCATCAGCTTCGTGGCTACATGGTACAAAAACATCGCCTTTAAAGCGACGTCACAATTAGTCCAATGGAACCGGTACTTTCGCGATATTTCTCTATTCCTAATTGACAGCTGTCGCAATGGACGATCCATCGTCTGTTTTTTCCTCCGAAAATAGACGGTCCGTAGACGGTGCTTCCAATTGAAAGCATGAATCAGCTAGAATCAGCCAAAGTTAATTCACATCGGTTGGAATTAGCCGGAATCGGTTAGAGTTAATTATGATTTATTAAATAATTAATTCTATTGAATTCAGTTAAGATCAATTGGGATTAACTCGAGGGTTCTAACTAATTCTCTCTCTCGGAGGGTTTTAATTATAATTAGAAAGGCTAATATTTACATATCGTCCATATTGCTAAAAACCTAGGGTTTATGATTTATAGAATTTCCTTTGGATCTTTCGTGTACGTTTCGGTGAATTAACTGGCATCTTACTTTTGAATTGCATGATTCGGGCGTTCCCTTGAATCCTCGTGCGCGGCGCCGCAGCAAATGAACGAGTTCACCAACATGTACAGCTACTTGAAAGTGATTAGCGAGACCACCACAGATCAAGCGGCAAGTGAGTATCTTTTTTACATTAATATTTCAGTTTTGATAGTCTCGAGTAGTTGAAAGAACGAGATTGAAATGTTCTTCAGGTGCGGACCCATCGACGACTAACACAGTAAACGACACCAATAACGACAAGGAGGATTATTGTCGTCCACGACCTTTGAGCGAAGCTTACTCGGTGCCACCGGCTGCAAGACCAATAACTTCCTTGATCCTACCAGGACAATTTCCAGTAACACCCAGCCCAACCACTACCACCAATAATCCCATTGAGGCAAATTATTCGATCGTACCAGCGCCGACTCCTGTCATCGTCAGTCCATCGACACCAACGTCTGCGACGACTATTTCGAACGGCCTTGAGCTCCCTCTTCAAGGTTACATGAAAATGCATCCAGCTGGTAGGTAGCTGTGCATGTATATATGTATATAAGTAAAATTGGGCCTTCGAATCTTGGTATTTCAGAAATTTAGATCTTTGGATCTCCGATTCTGCGAATTCTTGAATTATAACATTCACATTCGAATTTTTCTAAACACTTTCAATTCAAAAAATGATCTCTAAATTTTTAGATCTTCGGATCTTCGAATCCTTGAATTGTAATATTAACATTTGAACTTTTGAGATGCTCCAAACAATTTTTCCAAACACTTTCAGAAATTCGATGTTTCCAAAATTTAATTGTTCAAGGGCCAAGAACACCAACATCGAACGTAGTAAACCAGCAGCCACCCCGAACAGCGACGCCCACGCAGAGTCGTTCAGATTCACACCCTATGCTCGCTCGAGAAGAGAACAGTCAGTCTTCCTGCTCCTATGGCAGAGCAACTTTCAATTCTGGCAGCAGTACGAAGTCGAGGGAACCGTCTGGGCCTCAGGACGAGTTGCTGGAAATCATAAACGATTTCAAGAACAACGTGTTCACGATAACGGAGGTCGAGAGACTGGTCGAGAACTGGAGGAATCGCAACGACGTCCAGCAGAGCTTTAAAGACAAACAGAGGCAACTCACGGCGATGAGAGAAGAGTACGAAAGGATACAGAAGAGAATGAAAGAGGAAATGAAGGCCCCCACTCCTTTTGACAGAATCAAAAAGTTCTTCTCTAAAGGAAAGAAAGGTTCGTCAAAGCGAGATACATCTCATATAAAAAAAAGAAACTTACTTTTGTAAAAGTTTGAATTATTCTTGCTTCTGAATTTTGTAGATACGAAGGACTCTACGAACGGAAGTGACGATTCTTCTTCGACCAGCAAGGCGGAGAATGTTAATGGCGCACTGGCCGATCGTAGACCAGTTAGCAGCCTGAGTCTTCGTAGTGTTTCAAGTACGTGCTTGCAGAAATTACGTAATTTGAATCATGAAACAATACGATTCAAGTTTATTTCCTTCTGAAGAAAATGTTCTAATTAATTTCGATTTTCTTAGGCTCGTCTTCGTCCGGTAGAATGAGTACTGCCAGCGGATGCAGCGGGACCAGTTTAGGCGACAGTGGCACTCACTCTGACACTGAGGATCGACGAGTTAGTATTTTTGAAAAGACTGACATCTCAGTGAAAAAAAGAAATATAAAAACCTGTTTACAAATGAAGATATTTTTATTTCGTTGACTTCAAAATTGAAAATCTCCGGGTGAATTGTTTCAGCTGCAAAATGCCAAAGAGGACAAATCGGGCGTAATGTCGTACGAAATACCGCCGGCTCCCAAACCATTCACAGGAAGGTATTCCCCGGCGCTTAGGTATTCCCCATCTGCTCGTTCCTCGACTGGAAACGATCCAGACTTGAGACCGTCTCAGCCGTCGTTAAGAGGCGAGGACACTGAATATTACATCGCCTTCCCACCTTCGGGATTACCCATTCACTGTGAGTAATCATCATCTGGTATTTTCAAAGCAAAAAAATAAAACTGCGTGAAGATGATCTTAAAATATTAAAAAATTCAACAGTTCTAATTTTAAATAATTCTAATTGATATTCCAGTCATTTGCAAATTATGAATCGCAATTTTATTCCAAACGAAAAAATTCTAAATATGTAATGGTTTTCAATAACGATCAACAGCTTTCAAGACAGAGGCCTCTTTGAAGGAACCAAAAACTCCAAGCTCCCCGTGCGACCATCCAAAGTACCTGGACATGATTCAAAATTCGTTGCCAGTGACCACCTCAGATTCAGACTCTTCCAGACGTCCTGGCAACAGTTACGCAAACATCGACCCGTCTGTGCTAAATCCAGCGCCAGTACCGCCGGCTGGCATGTGCATTCCAACAAATTACGTGAACGTGATTCCAGCGTGCGTCACCTCGTTTCAAGAAGCTATTCAACGTCAGCAGACCGAGCAAAGGCATTCACTTGACTTGAGCCATGCGTCTGAGGCCTCGAAGAACTCGACGAAGGTCGAGACTGCCAATCAAACAGGGGAAAACAAAGTCGCTGATAACGTACAGGGTCAAGGTCATATCGTGAATGAAGCACAAAGTCCAAATAACGAGGAATACGTGGAAACGGACCTGATGAATGATTCAGAAGGCGTGGACGTGCTAGATACTGGTAAACTACCAGAATACATGAACGTCGATATTCCTCAGGATCAAAAAACTGGCGCCACGAAGAAGATGCCTGCACCTCCTGTTCCACCAAGAGGTAAAATGATTCCTTTCTTCTTCTTCCTTAATTAACTATATTTAGTTGTAAACTGCATTTCTCAATTATTAATTGTTTAACATTTTTCAAGTGAATCTCTCTGAAGCTCTTTCAAATTATACTTCCTTTGACAGTTTAACTTTCATCATACACCACTACAAAATGATTAAATATAGCGATAATATTTAACAGTTCTTCAGTTTCTTTTAGAAAATGAAATATTTTCTCTGCATTTCATCAAGCTGTACCACAAATATGTCAAATATGTATGTCAAACATTCTGACTCAAAACTTACTCGTTCATCACATGCTTAGAAATAGTTTAGAAACAACTCTTTCAGGACTTTAAATTACATCCACAACCAAATGATTCAAAAACGACTACCCGTGCAAATTCCTTACCAGTTTAATCATTGACCGTTTCTCTCTTACTTGACAGTAAAATGACTAACGAAGACCTAAGTGAACTTTCATCATCGTTTGCTACTTTGAACGCTATACTACACATACCACTTTGCTCTTGTGAAAACCAATTTGTAAGAATTCTTTTTCCTATTTTCTGTTGCAGTCGTTACAAAGAAATAGAAGAAGAACGATCACTATAAATGGAATAGAAAAGAAGCTGCTTCTTTTCTTAGAAATTTTAACAAGTGGATCGTTCGAAAACAATGCTCTCAACGAACGTTCCCCGAACATAATATCAAGTACTCGACGTCAGTGTTCTTCGTAATCGTTAGTATTAGTAGCGTATTTAAATGTACATTGTTCCATGTGTTTTCTGTGTACATTACCTCTGTTCTTTTTTCTTTGTTTCCCTTTATTCGAATACTCGATGAGACGTAACTTGATCTGCAATTCTTTTTAAGCTATTGTACTATTGTTTAAGTGCGTTTATTGGTCGTTATTATTTTAAAACTGTCTCGCGAGTGCGCTGCGAGAATAAAATAAAACACATGTATAATTAGCTGTTAATTGTAATTTGACATTTCCATGAATTTATAAGATTAGTGAGAAATTTAGGGATCTCGAGATTTCATTAAAATCAATCTTGAGTTTCCCGAGTTGGAGCCAATGAGAGAATTGTTTTATCATTTTTTCTTTTTCTTTCTCCAATTTCGAATTTTATGACTTAACTAATAAGTATTCGAGGCTTTCTAATTATGCCACTAAGTTGTATATTAATTAATTAATCGATACTCGGATCTCGAGCCATCGATGAATACAATGCTAGCGAGCGCCAAATCAAATTTTCATCTTTTGGCGGAAAGCCAAAATCATAATTTGTACATACTGTCCTCTGTTCTAATATTCTATTATTATTATTATTATTATTGTTATTATTATTATTATTATTATTGTAATTAGTTATCTGTATCAACCGTTAAGATTAAGTTAAATCAATTTAGTGCGGCAATTGTTAAGAAGTTAACAGTTAAGAAGAAATGTGAATGACGCCAAAGACTGCGTTAAGAAAATTACGGCGTCGCCTAATTATTTTCTCATGCACCAGACATTGTAATCATTCTCTAACGTAAACGACACTCTGTACAGGCGTCGGAACTCCAAACATCTTTATAAAATCGACGACGAAATGCGTTTTTCAAGTACCAAGGATGCATTTATCGTTCTAATTGTAATAGCCTAGAGCAACAATATTTTACAAAATGACTTTTTTTTATTTTTACCAGTAGAGGCACTGCTATGGTCTTTTTTTTATATTTATGTTTACACCAATAAAGCTGAAAACAATAGAAACTGAAAAATTATTTCGAAATAGTGTTCGTGTCGCTTAGATCATTAATTAATATTAATAACGTAAGATATAGCGAAGCACGAAGAAATAACTATTAAGCGTAATTTATGCACAATCTGAAGTCGTAATTTTTGTCAGATCTGCGCTACAAGAATTGCCGCGTCTGTTTGCAGGAAAACCGGTTCTCCTCAGTAATTATACGCTGAAAAGTCAGTTGCGCAACTTGCCGCCTTCAAGTTTGTACAAATTTCACGAATAGCAAAATTTTTGTCATTTTGTTTTGATTTTTGGAAATTCAATTACTTCTTGATACAAGTTCCAGAATTTTCATACCATTTTCCAAGAGAACAGTTCCTCTGATGCTTTTACTCCTCATGTTGAATACTGTATGAAAAGCTGACCTTGGATTTTACGGTACGTTCTTTTTTTAACAGATGTCTGCTCAGTGTGGAATCATTTATTAAGGCTGTTATTTTTGCTTTTTTAAACATTCTGCACGAGTGATGTCACGCTCGTGTATTTCTGAATAAAACATGCGATTGCATATGCATCGACAGTAGCGAACAACCTATTGTAGTGTCAACATCACGGCCGAACGTTTTCGAATTCTCGAAAATACATTCAGTACATGACGAATCGAACGACTCCTCCGTCCTTTCACGAAGAGCGATTAGTTTTTTTTCAAACATTAAGGTATTTCTATTTTTCGATGAAAACGACGCTTGAAATCTGAGATAATTTGACTTTCTCATCGCTATGCTTACAACGTAAAATCTACATTTTACGAATTCCATGTGTCAAAACATGTCAGAATATCAAATTGACATTCCCTCAAATAATTATAATTAACTCTTAAAGACTATTTATGAATGAAATTTCACCTTGTGCGAATTTCCCTTCAATTTCATTTTCATTGAATTCAATAACTCTTTCCATTTCACGTATAATGTAATAACAATAATTTCTGAAATAAGAAGAGAGCAAAATTTCATTCATAATAAGATTTAAATAAAGAAGAGACTGTAAATTTATATTACAGAAGAAGGAAAGTTGTTACCCTCGGCTCAACGACCAAGAAATCGTCCAGACGGCCATTCATTTATTTCTGGGGCTCGCAGGAACCGCTATCTTCCTTCCGCTCGATTTAGATTTATTCGTTAATTGGATTTGCCCAGTTAATTGCGGTTCAACATCCGAGGTAGGACCACTGATCCTTGATTACCGAGTAACCACGTGCTCCGTACGATTATCATTAAGTGGGGATCAATCTTATATAGGAGAGAAATTACTCTCTTCGGCAAAAGCCTCGATCACCTGGCTCTTCGTCAGTCGATTCGCGACGATTTCACAAGCCATCAGCTTTCAATTCTGGAAGCATTAACACGAAATAATTAATACATCTACGAGACTTTTTGAACTTTCAAAGTATAGTGATCGTTAGTCACGAAAGGCTGTTGCCGCGAGGAAACAAATGAAATGTGTCGCTAAAACTGTGAAATAAATATTCTTCGAGTGCAAATTTCACGAAAAACAAAAGTTCGAAGTAATAAAAATTTTCACACGTGTATTCTTTGTTTGTAGTAATTCAACGTGAATAAATAATCGGAAAAATGAAGTTGCTGTCGATAGTGTTGGTGTTGATGTTATCGTTGGCCACCACGCTTGGTCAAAGGTTTGTTTAGTTAATTAATTGTTTACCACTGATTTTTGTACATTTGTAGAAGATTTACAAGTATAATAATATCTGAAAATACGTAAAATATTTGAGCTATAAGTAAGTTTGAAACATCTCTTTTGTTTCGATAAAAACACAAATCTGTGAATCTTCCTCATAAAATTGAAATAACAATGTCTTCAGATATGATTTCGAGAAACCAGGCTCTTGTCCACCACCTTTGCCAGTACAGATTTGTAGCCAGTCCTGTTTCTCTGACGCACAATGTTCAGACATTGGCAAATGTTGCCCCACCAATTGCGGAGGTTTTATTTGCACAAAACCTGTGACCAAGGTAGAAGCAGTTTCTAGAGGTAAAGTGACAGTATTTAATAATTATTTAAAAATTATGTACGATTATTTTAATTCTCTAATATAAAATATTCAGAAAGAAAAAGGAAACTATTTAACTTAAAATTCATTGAAGAAAAAATTTGACCTAATCTGTACGTTTAGAGAAACCAGGTTCGTGTCCAGCTGAACCAAAAGGAAGATGGGTGTGTTCATCAACCTGCAGCGTTGACAATCACTGTAGAGGAACGTTGAAATGTTGCAAGAACCGTTGTGGAGCATTGGCATGCCAAAAACCAGATGTTGAAGTGATTGAATCTCTAGACATTCCACTTGTTCCAGTGGATGATTCTTACAACAATCCCAGGAATCCTTACAGCAATCCCAGAGATCCAAGTAATTACGTATATTATTCCTATAATTAGAATAATTGTAGATCATGTTAAAATATTACCAGAGAAATGATTCTATTTTATTCAGTTTATTAATGATTGTCATATTGTAACAAAATGTATTCTTGTGCCATATCTTGTACTTATTGAAAAACTTGTGAACTAAACTCTTACTTAAATGTATTATTGCGTATCCACTAAAATTTGTTCATATCTTTTTTGTAAAGTATAAAAATATAAAATATAAGATATAAAATATAATTTCGAAAGTAAATAATAATATTATAACTTATTTTCATTTATACATTTCAATCTGTCGTTGACTAACAAATTTTAATTCTTCATTCAACTGTATTTAATAAATATTTTCACAAAGAAGGAAAGAAGATTTTATTTTCTGTTGCCATAACAGAGTTTAAATTTTACATTCGTCTTCGTAATTGAAACACGACGTTGAATTTTTAAATTTCTTAAGTGATTTCTCAGAAACAAATTCATTGTTAAGCGACTTAACGCAATTAATACCTTGTTAATCTATTGACTTGAATTTGCGTAGAACCTTGAAGGGTATACTACGAAATCAAGTTTATATTTTTCAAATTTTTTTCAAAAAGATAATCATTAGTACAAGGTATTATCAAATTATTCTGTTATTAGAAAAGAAGGTAAGAAAATAAAAAAAAACACTGGATAAATAAGACAAAGGGAGAAATGACATATCTTTTCCAGAAGCATTTGAGAAAAATGCTATATACCATATAAAATGTGCTTCAAAGCATGCACCCTGTGGATAACCCCTAGGATAGGTGCCGAAACTAATTTATATTATTATCCTTAGCACACGCTGTTGCTCTCTTTGTCTACCGCGCGAATATGTCTGTCCTTGTCCAACACTATCGCTCTCCTTGTCTATCCTTGTCGTACACTGTTGCTCTCCTTGTCTACCGCACAGGTATGTCTGTTCTTGTCGCACGCTGTTGCTCTCCTTGTTTACCGCACAGAGGTATGAAAAGAAAGCTAAGGGTCTAATTAGAATAATACAATCACAAAAGTTCACAATTCATTTCGCTAAATTAAGTTTTTTAGCAAATAAAAATTTCTCTGTTTTACGGGGTAAGAAACACTAGCGCCGCGTTGTGGCAGACCGGTGGAACTAAACGCTCTATAACCATATAAGGAGAATAATTAATTTTAATTTTTCACGCTACTAATTTGCACTTCACGAGCACATATTTCAAAGATAATGCTATCAGTTACGTTGGCAAATAAATCTGAATCTAATATTCACTATAGTTTGCGCGAATTTATGCACTCACTGCTAGCACTATTACTATCGCAAACGAAATTGAAACATTCTTTATACGTACATTCTATATATGTAAACTATACTTAAACAAAACGTAAAACGCAAGCTTAGGGTCTCTAAAATCGAAGACGCAACTATAACAGTCACAAATGATTAATCTTTTAATTAATTTCTTCTCGTAATTTGTGGAAAAACTGTCACCTGTCAATGTTTAGATGAAATGGTGGCGCCATCTATTGATAACTCGGTGGTACTAAAGTAGAAAATTCTGTTTTGACAAGGACAGACATATTTGCGCGGTAGACAAGGAGATTATTAAGTTATTACAGTTGAATTCGATAAGAATATATTTAATTTTATACAAAATATAAAAATAATAATATATACAAAATATAAAATAATAATTATACAAAATATAAAAAATAATAATATGTCAAATTTTGCAATTTATTTTGCTTTGGGAATTACGACAGAAATGATTGTAATTATAGAAGCTAATGATTGTAATTATGAGAAACTATTATATAATTTTTTTAATAGAAGGAATCATTTATGGTGATTGCTATTTTATGTCTAAACGAGTTTAAATATGTTTCATTGCGTTTATGGTATTGATTAAATCAAGAGAAGATCGTAAAATACTTCAAGAACTTTATTTCAATTAAAAAAAATTTTTTTTTAGTTTGGAAACTTGAAAAAAGTCGGCGAAATATGTTCGAACATATTATTTTACACTCTTAATTCTTCTGGAATTTCTCGCAAGCCACACTTTCGTACCATTTATTGCTCAATCCCGTAGACGATCTTTTCATAAGGATAATTTGCATCAATGATGGAGTAACACACACATACACGTACGAAACTGAACTCTGCGTTATGAGTCACGTAAATTCACAATTGAAATACCAAACTGTATTATTCGTTAGATCACAATATAAAGACATATCGATAATGATAATAAATGCTTTTATAAACTAATGTCGAGGAATACCAAGATGTTGAATCAGCCTGTTTCCTATGTACGTTTCACGACATGTTCCTCTCGCTGACCGTAAAGTAGTGGTGGAATCGAGCGAGGTAATAACCCAAAGATCGCTAGATAGATAAAAGAAGAAGGAAACTGATGAAGAAAGATTTAAGAAGCTGAGGGATTCACGCGCCAATTAGACGTTGCTCGTCTTCCAACCGAATAAATCTAAGTAATTTCAGAGGAAGAGGAAAATCGTCAAGGGAAATTTTTAACCAAGAGGAATGTATAGTACGTGCACTTTGTGAAAATTCTGTTTCTTTCTGTATACAAGATGTTTCAAGTTAATAAGAAGTTGAAGTGAGTCGAAGAGAAATATTACTGTGAAACTTGATGGTTCCTGAGAATAAAAGGGCATGCAAAAAGAATGAATACTTCCGTTTATATTGAGACATCTTACGTAATTGTACATATTATTTTGTCTTTTAAATTATTAGATAATGATTTGTATGTTGTTTTAGGGAAAGAAATAATTCTGGTACTGGCTGTATGCTTATTAATTGCTGTGGCAGACGCTCAGCTGTCTTGTAAGTTAAATAATCATTCATATGTAATTAGTTCAAAGGATGTAACAATTTTGTATGAAGTTAATAGAGTTTTTTTTTCTTGCTGTTGAATTATTTATCACGAATGAATATAATAATGTCATAAATACAGTTTTATCATCTGTAACTATTGACTTTGAGCGATTAAATGATTTCAGATCTCTCAATTTACATATGTATCTTGAATTTTGTTAAAAAACTACCATTAAAATTTTATATTGATAAATATTTTATTGTCATAAATATATACATTCGTACATAATCATCCTACAAAAAAAAAACATGAATACGATTTTATAGATGTTTTGATCTTAAATTTTATCTGTGATTGCATGTACATACGTATAAAAAGTGATATTGCATAATTATTACCATGCGAATTATGCACTTTTTCAGTACAGTTTACTTAACAAGTGTTCATTAATCTATTTGACACTATGCAATTTATTTGATACTAGAAATAATCGAAATGAGTTTCTGTTTTCGAGAATCAGGATATTCAAATTATTGTCTCGTAAATGTATTCGTAATTGATCAATATTTCAGATAAAGAGGGGCATTGTCCGTTAAGAAACAGCATTTCAAAATGCAGTCCAAGATGCGTTTCGGATTTTCAATGCTCTTTTAACAAGAAATGCTGCCCGAATAAATGCGGAAGTGATTCGTGTGCTCCAGCGAGCGCTGTCAGCACCGGCAATGGATACAAAGGATCATCGGATGGTAAAAAAAATTATGATTCAATTTCTTAAAGCTTTTATCTTTTCAAGACGAACGAAATTTATTTTCTAGGCATTTATTTTCTAAGCTTAACGAAATTTATTTTCTAGGCAACGTTTACTGCGCTGGAATCAAATGCGGCCCGTATGAAAAATGTCAACTCGATCGTAGAACAAAGCGCGAAAAATGTACTCGCACGTGATCAAATGTTTACAAAATAAATGAACATTTATTAGTCTTGATTATTCTGCTTCTGCTTCTCAATCCTTTCGTGGGCATAATTCAATTTTTGCAAAAATTCGAACGAATAGAAAGGTTAATAAAATTCATTTAGGATCATTCAAGACAAGAAAATTCAAATTCAAATTGCAAGAAGGTCGAAGTACGATTAATTGTGATGGCAACCTGTTGAAAGTGAATCGACTATCGACGCCATGAATTTCAATCGATTTTTCTCGATAACCTCTTTATTGTTTTATAAGCGGCTATATGCCGGACGAACAGTTAACATTTCAACAGTATTTGAAAAGCATGTATAAAGTGACACGACGCTAAAATATCACTTCGTTCGAAATATTTCTCAGCAAAATGGCATTTGATCAGTCTTGATTCTTTGTAACAAAGGCACGTACGGGTTTTTTTTGTCACTGTGAAAGAGGTTAGATCTATGCCGACATTACGATGGCAATGGAATTTTTAGTAAATCGACTGAAAGCTCTTATGGTAGTTCTTCTGGGGATATTTAGACGAGCAATGTGTTGTCTCCGACGACGAAGAAGATCATCCTGTGATTCAATCCCTCTGTCCACGGTCGGCGTAGTACCAAATACCGTAAACAACACAGCACAACCAGTGAGTTCCAAGCATTATTGTTCATCTCTTTTTTTTAGTTCATCTCTTTTGTAACGATTCAAAAATCATGTAAATCCTGTTGTACCATTGACTGTGATAATAGTAATTACTGAAGATACTTGCTCAAGGAATTAGAGCACTGGGATCAATGGGAGGAAAATCCTGTCGTGGTCGTGCCAGATAGACCAGTTAACGTGATACAAGCAAAGATTGAACAATACAGGCAGCAAGTATCGAAATCACCAGAATCTGCAGAAGAGCAGCAACCAAATTTCTTTGAGGTAATTGTTTTTATTGCTTTGGCAACAGGGAAATTTGTGTGTATCTAATTTATGCTTCTATGTGTTGCAGAACATGACACCAAAGATTACTACACAGACAAAGATTTTAGTGAAGGACAAGGATTCAGAAAATGTATCCTGGAACGCATCAAAGTTTGCCATAGTCAATGATCCAGTACCATCTGTACGTTGATATTTCTTGAGTAACTGCTTTTAATGAGAGGAAAGTATATAATTTCTAAAACTATGCTCCCGTAGAATGAACTAGGAGATTGGGAAGACAATGCTGTTGGTTGGGAGGAAGAAACAACAAAAGAATTTGGAGATCCCACAAAGACATTGAGAGAACAAAAGCGAAGAGAAAGAGAACAACGATTGTTCGAACAGCAACAGAAGAGAATCGAACGCAATTCAAGACCTCAGCCATTAGGAGCAAAATTAAACTCTTGATGAGGAAGAACATAGTCACAAAGATTTATATCAAAAATAATAATTTTTCATTCAGTGATATATTCGTGCAATGTGATGTTTTTGCAACTACATGAAACGTTAATTAAAATTAAGAAAAATCAAAGGTTATTATTTATATTATGAGTTATTCATATGTAAAATCTTATATTCCTTATAAGAAAACATATCACGACGATATTTTGTTTAAATCGTCCAAATTTGAATTTTAACGTATTTACTAATTAATTGTTATGCATTTAATTTTTTGTTGGGAGTTTCTCAAAAGTCGTTGGATGGTATTTAATCCTATCGAACTTATTAACAGAAATCAAAAGAACTGACTTATTTACATAACGTACAGAAACTACGAATGTACTTTCACACTGTAAACAAATGGTAACTATTATTGTTTAAATTTAGGCTTACTATTATTGTTTAAATATATTGTTTTAGTTTTAAAATGTTTATAACGTCCAGGCACATTCCATGTAAATAATCTTGTAACACCATGTAGAAGCTGATTTTTTACAATGAAATCGGACTACTTTTCGGGGGCAGATTAAAACAAAATTCAATAACTAATCTCTTCGCAAGTATTAATTCATCTGTATGATTATTCTCTTAATCATACCGATGTAGAATCGAGATTGAATTTGTAGCAGTATGAAATAAATCACATTACTAAACATAGTATTATTAAAAAAAAACAACTTTACAGAAAACCTTGAACGAACACAAACAAACATTTTGTGATGTATTATAAGTATGACTAACGAGCGTTTGATATTTACATTGCTTTTAATATGCTATTTATACGAAATTGTAATAGGAAGAAATTATTATAAAGGACAGAGGAAACAATAAATGAATATATTTGATTGGCATACGTAAAATATTGGCACATCAACCGTGCTTCACGTGTCGATAAAATATATGTGATCAAACAAACTTTCCCTTATGTACAGCCGAAGATAAGGTTGGACTTGAAAAAGATAAGGACGCGGAAACCACAGGATCAAATATTCCCTTGTATGTCGTCATTCTCTACACGCTCTTATATTTGTTAAACTGTCATCAAGTATTTGTGTCATATTTTTCACACCACGTTGGACATAACAGTTATAATCCATCAAAGTGAATTGGTAAGTACATAAAACAATATTTGTACTAAAAGAGCTTACAATACGTAGTTTCTACATTCGAAGTGAACTTTGACCAAAAAATACATCACAAAAGTTGCACGACTATTTGTACTCCTGTGGAAAATTAACAAATGATAATTCAAATTACCAATTTACCGCGGCAATGTTTGAAAACCAGAGAACGCGGTATTTTCAAATTGCAGTAACATACTAATCTTGGTAACTGACCGCGGGTCAAAATCAAATCTGACCGATTAAAAAGAGAAGGTATGTGGCAAAAATTTTAAATGAATAAAGAGACAATTAAATAGTTATACGTGAGTCATTGAAAGTCAAAGAACTCGGAAAATTCCACTTCGTAGACACACCGTCGAGGAAACGTGGGGATGGCGACGGCCAGTTTGTAAGACAGAATTTCAGCCAATTAGTCGAACTACTGTTATACCGTTTCACGTCACGCGGGTTACAATCTTGTTTGTTACGTGACCAAAGACATACACAAATGAAAGAAAAGAAAAAAAGAATGCAATAAGCGGCATCGATGCACGCGGTGACGTGCGGTTAAAACCTGTGTTTCGCCTTGTATGGTTCAGCCACAACCAACTTCAGACAGTCCGTATCGTACGAAATGATGGCAAAGCTTGTTTGACGAAATTGCGGCGGTGATCCGTTCTCAGGATTATCGAGCGATCCCGCGATTCCTATCGTTTCCCGTGATTTTTCCTCCGATATCCATCCCTTCACGGTCGCGTTCGTGATCGATGCTTTTTCACCTTCACCCTTAACGACATATGCAAATTCGAAATGTCAACATCAGGAGGTGAGGTGTTCGTTCGAGACTTATCTACGCGCGATACGATGGTCATTATTAATTTTTGAAACTCGTTTACGTAAACAGTATCTCATTAACCTCAAATCGACGTTCGACGTTCATTTCCTCTGGTCGTCTCTCCGAAATATTTTTAAGTAACTTGCACGCGGAACGGGCATCGAGACGGACAGCCGTGAGCGTATAAACACAAAAGAAGCGCGGAGCTATATTTGGTCGTGTTTAAATTTTTTTTTTCTTCCACATACGAAACTTTCGATAATCTCGTAGTAAGAGCGTATGGATTTCTCGGAATGATAAGAAACAAATGTCGTTTTCCCGAAAATGGTATAACGTTTGTCGATCGTATGGTAAGATTAACACAATTGTGTACTTCTAGCAGTACAGATAAAGCTATTTGTCTTGAACGAAGCAGCGACAAATCGTTGAACCATTTGTCGATATCTGAACATTACAGTTTATTTTTATCGGTGCGAGTGCAAACAAGGTTGAGAAACGCGCGAACAAGTTGCGTATTTGCAAGATTTCACAGAGTGAATTTCTTTTTCAGACCGAGGGGCATCTCTTTATCTAAACACAATGTGCTGCGTGATAAGAGCGATGATTGCTTCGTATGAATCATTTGTGATACCGATCAGTGCTGGAATAATGTAAAAAAGATCAAGTATATGTGATACATAGTCATCTATTTTTATTGTGAAATTACAATAAGACACCAATAACGATGGGTTCTATAGCCTTGGAAGAATTTGAACTCATGAAAGACTCTAAATATAGAGTGTAAGTAAAGTGTTTCACATCTGACATATATGTTATATTCCATTCTATTAATAAAACTGCACAAAGAAAAATAACATTGAATCTTAATCTTCTATACAAGTTAAAGTATGTTGTATGTTTATACAGCTATGTGTCCGCCGTCGACAAAGCTCTAAAGAGCTTTGAATACACCAGCGAATGGGCGGACTTAATCTCTGCACTTGGAAAATTAAACAAGGTGTTATTAAGTCACATGAAGTTCCCGGTTATCCCTAGGAGAATTAAGATATCTAAAAGATTAGCACAATGTATGCATCCTGCTTTGCCATCCGGTGTTCATTTAAAAGCTTTAGAAACCTATGACATTATTTTCAAATGTATGGGCACTAATAGACTGAGTCATGAACTGTTTATATATAGTGCTGGTAAGATTAATCTTTGAGTTGTATAATTTAAATTTGTTTATTAGCTTATGTTCATATTATGAACTTCTTTTCTATAGGTCTATTTCCATTATTGGGTCATGCCGCTATGAATGTAAGACCATCTTTATTGACAGTATATGAAACTCATTTTGTACCTCTTGGAGAGAGATTAAGGCCTGGATTGAGTGGATTTTTAAGTGGCGTTTTACTTGGTTTGGAGGATGGTTCTGATCACTTTGATAGGTATTGTTAATAACAATAGAAACAATATATGGATCATAGGGGTGTGCGGGTACCTGAAATTTCGGGTTCTGGTCAGGCTCACACAAAGTCGGGCATGCTCGGGCGGGAATGATTTTGGGTAGCCCGATGATTTCGGATCGAATTGGAAAAAGTTCAAGGGGGATAGGATCAGAGGTGGGCATTATTCGAATAAATTCTTCGAATAACATTTTATTAACATTTTTGAAATGTTTACTGAAGTAATATAAAGAAAAAAAATCAGGAGTCCTTTTTTCACAATTTTGGTTTATTTAATAAATTTGTTTTTAGTACAATTTTTTGTTTGAACATTTCGTTAGTTAATCTGTTTGCTTTAGGCGAGTTTGTTATCGTTGCAAATGAAATCGCTCTACTGGAGCAGAAGATGGCGAAGGAGTATTTCAAAAATATATTTTTAATTATGGGATATGCATTCAGAGATATGTAATCATTTCTATTATCTGTAAAAAATTGTAGTACAAGAATGTAAAGTACTTTATGTAAGCTCGACTCGAACAGTAGGGTACCCGTAATTTCGGGTATCCGGACACCCCTAATGGATCATAAGACAAGAGTTCAAATAGTTTCTTAAATTTTGTGAATTTGTTTTTTTTTTTTAGGACTAATTCCTTATTGGAGAAAGTATGTGAGGGAGTAGGTCCAGATCACTTTTATGCATGTTTATGGGATTGTTTAGCTTCAAATTCTGGTATACGATTACCTGCTATATCTTTTGTATTAGCACATTTCAACAAGAAACTGCCAATGGAAGAACAAAAATACATCATGGGGACAGACACTAATATTATGGTAAAAATAAAAATTGTTACTAATATCATGCGTTTATGTTTCATTAATTGATTGTGACTCATAAATCAGGTTACTGCTCTCTGTGCTGGTGTACAAGACAGTTCTGTGTTAGTACAAAGGAGTGCTTTGGATTTGCTGTTAGTTGGTTTTCCTGTACATAATAGTCAATTAACATATGAACACATGGTATCACTAGTCACAGCTGCTCTTATTACCATATTGAGAAGAGACATGAGTTTGAATAGGTAAAATGCAGAAATAAAAAATATGCATAAAAAGTAACGAATTTGATGTATTAGAAATATATAATTTTTATCTATAATATAGGCGATTATTTGCTTGGCTTTTGGGAACTGAAGTAAGCACATCTATTTTAAAAAGAAAAACGGATACTAAAGTTTCAGAAAGCACGGAAAATACACCTACTTATTTTGATATGTACTCGAAGGAAATGTTAATTGAAGCAATAAAGTCATTGTTAAAAACTGTTTGCGAGGAAAGTCCACAAGATTTAAAGCCATACAGAATATTGGTTTCTTTGTTAGAAAAGGCAGACATTGGTCCAGTAATTTTGGATGATATTTTATTTGAAGTTTTTAGGTAAAACAATATATTCAAAACCACTGCGGCAAAATAATCTTCAATAATATAGAAATGTTCATCTTTTATTTCCAGAACTTTTTATAATGCCTGCGGTCAATCAAACAGAGTACCAAAAACGAACGAAGTAGTAAAATCAGCAAATTTATTATTTTCAACATTGGAACCATCTTATGTATGGATACATTGTGGATATTTGTTCGGAAAGGCTTGTCAAGCTAGAGCAAAAAATAAACAGGAAACAGAAGACATAATCGTGAGACCTGTAGGTAGCGGAATGCCGAATTTCATGGAAGTATGTACATTGACTGAATTCCTGCTCGAAACGGTGTCGTTGGATGCATTTATAGACACTCCTTCCGAGCATCTACCCGGTTTGTTCTATGAGATCATTAGTAAACTTTTATACCATATCGATCTTTTATCTCCTATGGAGATTTCGAGAAGTCTTCGATTATGCGCAAAGATTCTGACAAAAGTACAGCCGACAGTAGTTTCGAATCATACGGAGAAAAACGAATTGGAAATGAAATTGGATATAACTACCAGTACTACTACAACAATTAATGATAATTCCTTAACCGCGATTCCTTTGGAGAAGAGTCAATCCGATAGTAAATTGAATAAACCGGACACAGCTACCAGTTCGTTTTCCGAAAAAAGCCCTAGTCCTAGAAGAAGAGCAAACTCGGGAGGTGCTACCAAACGATCCGACAAAAAGTCCAAAAAAAAATCTAGTAAAAGTACCTCGAAATTAAGCGAGTCTCTACCGGAACCAAGTACCAACATTTCAGTAATGGTGAATACAGAATCCAAAGGTTTGCCAAGAAATAAAAGCATGGACAATATAAAGACCGAGTATATTGAAAGTATCATTAATTCTCCATCTAAGGATCAATTGTCTACGTTGAAACAGTCAAGCAAAAGTAGTCCTATGGGTTCCACAGGATCCTTGGGTAGAGGACCGTCTCCTGCGTTTCAAGCGCAGCATTCAATGTTAGAAAAGTGTTTAAGACAGTATGAGACTTTTTATGTTAAATTAATTAGTAATAGAGTATTGAGTAAAGACAAAACAGTTCAAAGTATGTTCGATAATTTGATAATACCATGTCCAAGGGAAAGTTTTGATGAGAGAATGCGGTATTTAGAACTTTTATTGAGCTCCAGATTGAATATGGAGGATTCTGGTTTCTTCAGCCAGGACAGTTCTGTGACAGAAGATACCAAACAATTAGACATTCTTCATCTGTATATCGATTCTGTTTCACAAGCAGAATGGGATGAAGCTACGAAAATTGCCTCCAGCTTGTTTGTTGAACTGTCTACATTTCCAAAATATTTTCTCCCTGGTGATGGACTGCTTGTTGAAGAAGAACCAAAGGGAAATATTGTTCTTCCAGATTGGTTGAAAGTTTTAGTAGTTTGTGCTTGCTGGTTGGGAAAACAACCTGCTTTACAATTAACCAGTATTGCTACGTTGCTGGATTTAGTAGCTTTATTGAAAGCTCATAACGACATTGAAACCCATCCAAAAAGCGGAGAGGGAATAACGGCTGTAATTATGGTGCCATTATTGAAACAATGGCATATAACTTACTTGTTGCAATATACTAATATATTTCAGGTATTCATAATATTTTCATACATTATGAGCTTGCTTAAACTTTTAATAAAGACTTCTTGAGATCTAAAATAAGCATATTTTTTCTTAAGATACTAGCGCATTCCTTGTGGCACCATCTTGGCGAATTACCTGCTCATAAATACAGAATGCGGTGCGTTGAATTATTACATGAATTGCACCACGCTTTACATAATTCCTGTAATGCAGTGGAGGATGTGATAGGACTGGCACTCACGTCAGAAAATATAGAAAAAAGAATAGAAGCGTTCAATAGGTTCGCTACATTATGGCATCTTGGGCGTGAAATTGAAACAAACCCTAGATTGCGAGGCTGTATGAAATCTTTCGATCAGTACGTCATATTACTTTTTAATATACTTTTTTAATAATGTCTTGTCTCACTTGTTATTAATAAATTATTCTATAGGTCATTGTTAAAAATACTGGATAATCTACAGCTAGCAGATAACTCTCCTCTGAAACTTCACGCTCAGTCATGGCTTCTGCACTCTTTAATGCGAGGTGACATTTCACGTATAGTGGATCCGTTATTGATAATACTCCTGGATCCATCTACCTGTCGTATGAGCGTGCTACATGTCAGTATACAACATAGCAATACTGTCCTGACGAAAAATGATTCCGTAGAAGAAAGGTCTGAGATACAAGACGATACAGAGGGTGCAGCAAAAATTTATGCGATCAGTTCAGTAGATGGAAATGTAATATACCACGTTAGTGATAACATGGATGAAGATAAGAAATGGCGAAAGGGTAAAAAGAAGAAGAAAGCTATAAATCCTGTAAAAGTGAAAAGAATATTCGCTGTGACAACGTTAGCTGCTGGTGATAATTGTAATCAATATGTAACCGAAAAAAATCAATTTATGAAAGAGCTCGAAGTACCTCCCAGTATATCTGGCAATAGAAAAATTTCTGTTTTCGTGAATCCTTTATCGCTTAACTGCAATGAAAATTCTAATGACTCATTGACGGAGGATGATTTGTTACCCAGTGTGAAGAAGACAAACTTAACAACGGAGTTGTTGAAGAATGCAACAAGATTTAAGAAGATGGATTTTGACAAAGGTTCGACTGCTAGCTTAGACGAAAGTTTTTACGAATCGGCAAATTCCAGCTTAAAGGCGAAAGAAAAAAGTGGGTTTAAAAAGCTAAATGGAGAAGTAGGCTCATCCTTGGATTCAATCACCAATAGTTTCGACTCCAGTAGTCCTGAAATCACCAATAAGCAAACGAAACAGAAGAAAGAGCCTATAATAATGCCAGGCAGTTCCAGAGAAATAGCAGGTACTATCATCAAGGGCAAATATCATAGCACAAATGAATTCGCGACGAATTACGATGTCCATGATGTTGGAAGTTTCGAAGCAAGCGTCGAAGTACCTAGTTGGACAATGGATGATGAAGAAGCAGACCTGGATGTTAGTACAACTGCAGAAGAATATTTTAGTAACTCTAGTGGGAATAGTATAGTCGAAGAAATTTTAAACGAAGTGCTTGATAAAGTAATGCAAATTTGCGACGTTGTTGAACCATCTAAAAATGTAAGTGATCCTTCGTATTATATTCACTAATTGAATACGTCAGTTTTGTATTATCTCAACATTATATTTGCAGACTGATGAGACTCAAAACTCAAAAACGAATCGCAATTTTGGAATCGGAGTACACAACCTTCATTCACATATGTTGCTTTACTGCGGAGTTTACGATTCGAACAGAACACTTTATGCATTGCGTACACTTCGGAACGAATTATTGACCAATACTAGAATGTTTCTATGTTGTGCTGCAACAACTAGCGTAACCAATACAACAAAAAACACAACATTATTAAACTTACTAGCTAGACACCGGAAAAGTGTATTTGGAAGGAACTTTCATGGAGAGATAGCAAATACAGAGTTCATAGCAGCTTATAGAAGTAGCATGTATTTAGAAGTTTTAATTAGTGTGTGCCTTTATTTTGCTAGAAGTTACTATCCTAATTTAGGACAGATGAGACTTACGCATGAAGAAATTTCAGGGAATCGACAGGTGAACATTAAAAAATTAACATTAAAAAATTTTGTTTACGTGTAAATAAATTTGTATAAATATTAATTGAAATTGGCTTGTTATCAGGTGCAACTTGCAAGCGCAGAACTGTTAACACTTACATTCTCCGAATTAATTCCTATCGTTTGTGATTCAGGGAAAGGTTTTAGTTGTTATATAATCGATCTACTTACTAAGTGTAAAGTACAAAAAGTTGCATTACATTGTCTTGTATCTAGTGTGATGAATATGAAAAATGCACATAAGGAATGTGAAGAAATATTTACATTTACAGAAGAAATCATTTTATTCAATGATCCGGTCACAGACAATGATACAAGTAAATGCAAATATCGTGCAAGCGATCATACAGAGGCTTTCCAAATACAACTGTTAAGGTAAATATTTAAAAGACAAAGAATCGTATATTTTACATTATGTTAATAAATATTTTTTGTTATTCAAGATTATTGTTAGCTTTAATCATGTTGGAACATCAATGTAGTAATCAAAAAGGCGAAGAAATATGTCCACCAATTATACCAACACCAAGTACTCCAATAAAGACCATTCCTAACATTACGGGAAATAGTTTGAAGTATTTGCCTGGTGCACCAATTCCACAACAGCCAATGTTCCTTGCCAGCATATTAAGTGCTTTACAATTGGTAAAAGTGAACTTTTAGTAATCTCGCAACGATTCTTTTTTTACTTTTGGTTTATAATTTGGTTTATAATTGTTTATAGGATCACATGAGACATTTACATCAACATTGGACAACTCTCGTTACGTCGAGTCTTCCGTTTATGGGACCTTCGTTAACATCTACAGTTACGTCAGTTATCCACCAATTATGCTGCAACATCGAACACTTAGCATCGTATTACATTAACGAAGAAACTACAACGCCGACGAAATTGCAAGATATAAGTACAGTCGAGTGTTGTCTTCCTGCGGATTACACAGTCACACATCTAGAGGCTTTAACATTTTTACTTCACTATTGTTTATTGGATACATCGCAACAAATAGGTTTCTCGTTTAGTCAACCCTTGAGCGGCACAGTTCAGACTGGAATACCTGGAGCAAATCCAGGCCAAATATTTAATAATCTTATCCATGTATTTATGCCAAGCCCACTCTCTTCAGTAAGAATATAAAAAATGTTTCCAAATAATGTTTTTCCAAATATTGTAATATAAAATATATATATGTATATTCTTTTTGTAGGAGCTTACATCATCAAAAGATAAAAATGGGGCCAATGAACTACAACAGCATGCTCGAAGAACCGCTTTAAGTCACTTACCACGAATAATCGCATCTCTTTCCACTCTCTGGCAAGCAGTGTTAGCAACCAAGGACAAGTTTGTCTTATTCTCAACTTTTTTTTATTTTTTTATTTTTTTATTTTTTTTACTTGAAGTAATTAAAAGTATATATTGCACTAATAAATCTTTTTTAAATCAAAATATAGTGATCAGGCGAGTTGCGTAGTAGGTAGTCCAAGAATAGTGAAACATCAACTTCTAGAACTCTTGTCTCCTATATCTTTTCACCATGGTGTGAACTTTTTGGCCGCTATTGCTGTTGCCTGGCATGAGAGACGGCAGCCTTCTGGTAATTCTAAAAAGGTAATCATATTATCAAAAATCTACAACAATATAATTTCCTAGATATTATATGCTATTATTTTATTTATTTATTTAGGTGCTTCCAGAAGCTTGTTCAAATCAACAAGTTATGGTTCACTTAGTAAGCGCGATACGTGTGATGCCTATCGATACTCTGGTTCAAACTGTTCATCAGGTCGTAAAAAATCAACCACCAGTTCATGGTGTGAAACAAGATTTCTCATTGGAAGTTTCTGTGTTAGAATTACTTTACGTTTATATGCAAAGTAACACGTCTCAATCTCTTATTGAATCTTGGGCATCTTTACTTGGTTTGCTCAAGGACGGCCTATCTTTGACGGCACCTGCTCAATTTCTGTTATTGGCTATCTTAAACGAATATGTACAGAAATGTCCTCCTATGCAAGAAAAAAAAGATATTAGAGATCTACAAGATGTGTCAGCAAAGGTACTTACATTTATTTTCAATTAGTAAATTTTTTTTCCGTATCTACATTCAACTTAAAAATGTTTCAGTTGATTGAGTCATGTTCGCAAATAGCCGGAGCATGTCTTGAACAAACAACCTGGTTAAGAAGAAACTTAGCAGTACGAGAAGATGCGTTCGAAGTTGCCGAAGGATCCTCGGAAGGTAAAGAAGGCAAAAGTGGTGCTGGTGCGTAATGTGCTTTTCATTTAGAAAATTCTTATTTTTCATTTTACATTAGCAATTTTTTGTTTATATTTATATAAGTTTATTCTTTTCTTTTTCCATATTAGAGCAATATGCCTTAACATTCTAATCCTAATTCAACAAAGAAACTAACAAAAACATTTTTTGCAGTAACACCTGGCACACCACCTAATGCAGCATATAGTATTCAAGCTCAAGCAGTATTAGCTGAAATAGTAGCACCTTTATTGGATGTTAGTTATGGTTCTCAAGAAAAAGAACGCGTAGTAACGCTGTTAACCAACCTCATGTATAATATTACACCATATCTTAAGAATCATTCGTAAGATTTATCTTTTATTTTTTTAACTTTTGATCAATTTTGTTTTAGTATTATGTTTTACTAATTACTAAACTTTTAGGACAAAAAATATTGCCTCGTTTACGGCTTGTTCCCAGTTACTAAGTTCTTTGTCAGGTTATCAATATACAAGAAAAGCATGGCGCAAAGATGTGCTGGATCTTCTACTTGATTCCGCTTTCTTTCAAATGACACCAGCGTGTTTACCATATTGGAGGACTATCATAGATAATTTAATGACACATGACAATACAACTTTCCGAGATTTAATGAGTACTTATCCTTTTGAAAAAAAAGAATATTTATTCAATAATTTTATTAATTTTGATAAATTTATTTTGTTGCAGACCGCGTTTCAATGGCTCAAAGTAGCAGTATCAGTATATTCTCTTCAAAAGAACAAGAATATGAGCAGAAAGCGCAACTTTTAAAGAGATTAGCATATGTGATACTTTGTAGCGAAATGGATCAATATCACAAGTATATGCCTGAAATTCAAGGTAAACTATCTCTGAAACATCAATTCATTTTCTGTAATATTGGTTTTATCGTCATTATTTGTTATTTATTATTAGAACGACTGGCGGACAGTTTACGATTACCACAGGTGATTCCATCTGTTCAAGCACAAGTATTTCTATGTTTTCGAGTATTACTTCTTAGAATGTCTCCACAACATACAACTTCCTTATGGCCGGTAATAGTTAGCGAACTTGTTCAAGTCTTCCTATACATTGAACAAGAATTGAACACAGATAGCGAAGAATTCAGGTAAAGTAATATTTTATGCCTTTAAGTATTGAAGTTATTTTGCTTTTGGGATTTTGGTGCTTTTAATGCATGATATTAAGAATTATCAAAAAAAAAGAAAAATGTTTTATTTAGGATACATTTTATTACTACATTTAAGATATATATTATTTAAGATATCCATATCAATTATTATTTATAAATATCATATTCAATTTTTTTTTCTTTTTTTAATTAAACGATCTTGAAAATTTCATGTAGTCTTTATATAGTCTTTCATTAAACACATGTAATGTTTTGTCCTAATTGAACCGTTCTCCTCACTAACATTAATAATACCTCTAATGTCATCTTGTTTTTGACTCTGTTTCGGTATCCGTGATTTGGTGGAATTTATGATGCCTCCATAAATTGATTGGTGTTGGGACATCAGTCGTCATGGCAGGTAATTTCGAATGCTTCTTGCTAACTTATATGAAATGAAATGTAAATTTTTGTACATTTTAGATTCATTCTAATTGAAAGAAATGTAATATTGTTAATTTTTATGAAACCTTCATCGAAAATAATATTACACTTCTTCAAGGAATATTTTGTAGTATTGGCAAATAGTGGGAAATGTGTGTTTCGTTTTTCTGCTTCTGATTGCAACATGCTAGAGCCAGTAAACAATAAAGAAAATAAATTAAAATTTTATTAATTAAATTAATTTTTTCTAAATACATTATATTTTTTAATTTTGTACAGTTCGCATATAAAACTACTCTCAGTGTTGGATTCATCTTGGGCTGTAAACGCCAGTAATGGACTTCAAGCACACGGTCATCCTCATTGGTTGCAATTGCAACTTGCTGCTGCTAAATTATTAGATTTGGCACTACTCTTACCTGCACACAGGCTTCCTCAATTTCAAATGTAAGTAAAAAATCCAAACAACATTTATAACGAGCCATTCTTGCAAAGGAACTTATATAAAATTGAAAATTTTTTATAGGTATAGATGGGCATTTGTAGGAGATTCAGCGGCAGGATCCATGGAAAACAATAATCTAGCTTCTGATTTCGTACCACACATTACAAGAATAGCAAAATTGATGGACACTAAGGTAAGTTTAAAAAAACAGTTTACATTCAGTTGTATAAATCTTCCCGTCACTTTATTCAAATTAATATAAATTCAGTATTCTGTTGTATGTTAAAAGTATAGTAAAACATTGTATTTTAACTTGTACAAGTTATGTGATGTAAAAATTATCTTCCTTTGGAAAACACTGTTCCGGCAGCAGACATTGTTGCGTTTTTTCATCAAATACATATTCTTCTTTACATTCGCATCCACTATTACATGGCGTGTAACAGTCTACCATATCCGGTTCGGTACAAGTAAACTGACAGAGGCAATGGGTCCAAACAGACCTTTCGTCACATTGTTGAAAGTTTTTAGTGATCATATAATCAAGTTCTTCATAATCATATCCAGGAATTCGATGTTTCGTATATCGGTATACTTTGTCGGGTTTATACCACTCTAATTGTGCAACAGATGACCTTTTTTTGAGAGAATCGTCATTATTTTCAAACGGAATTTGAAGATCATTTTTATGGGGGTAAACTCTATTTTGTATGTTTGCATCTTCGAAATTACTTAAAATGTAAAAATCATCCTGAACCATATCCAGATGATCTTTATCAAAGTTTTCAATGTAGTTTACTGGCATATTTTCGTAAAATTGTAAATCTTTATAATCAGAATCATCCGTATATTCTATAAAAAAAAAACCAATGTAATTAAAATGCATTGTGAATAAGTATAATATAAAATTTAATTCATTTTTCAGTTATAAGAAATATTATTCAAGTAAGCTTACTGTATGATTTGTATCATTTCTATTAATTACAGTCAATTAACTTTAACGAGTCCATTGAAAGTGAAGAAATTATAATGAACCGTTAATTGTATTTTTATTTTCCTGTTTATTTAAGTGATTCAAAATAAATAATGTATTAAAAAAAATTTAACTTTTATTTAAAAAATGATTCTTTATATATTGGACAAAGTAATAAATTAAGAAGTAACTTTAAGATTATGATGATATGTACAATTTACCAAAATCTTTTTAAAGATTTTTTATACAGTAAAATCTTTTTAAAAATTATATATACTATCATAACAAAAATATAATCAAAGAAGTTTATCATTTCAATCAATTAAATATTGTCACATTTTCTGTTCATTGTAAGACATATATGTATTTATTTTAAATATATTAAAAACACTTACGTGACTGTGTATAACATTTACGAGCATTTATTACTACTATAAGGTAAAAAATAAAACAAGTAATTGTTCTTAGTCCAGTCACTGCCATGGCCACTTTCAAACTGATTGACAGTAAGCCTTGTACAGTCTTTTATTATGAATATACCCAATTAACACTGTATGTAACTTCACTCACATATTTCTCTTAATTGTAAAATTTATTTTAATTGTCACTAAACAAAATACTATACATTTATTTTTATATTTAATAGTTTATAATTTCCTAAGCTTACTTCTATTAAACAGAAAAATATCACAAATACAAATTAATCTTAATAAAAATTATCTTAATTTAAAAAGATTTATTTTTAATTAGTATTAATTCGTATTTAAATTAGTATTAATTAGTATTAATTCGTCTCACTTTTCTTTATTATATCTTTATCTTAATATTTTAAATAATTATAATTTGATTAAATAGAATGCACTATTTTGGTCTATTTTCAATAATTCTGATGAAATACTTATTTTAGTATCATGCAAATCATGTATAGATATATACATTTTACTTTTGTAACTATGCCAATCACTCTCTATTTCAATAGTTTAGTGCCTAAATTATGCTTAGCATTATATTACATTCTATTAAATCAGATTTTAAGAATTTTATAAGCAATATTATAAACTTTGTATCACTTACATTAATGATTTTCATTTTTATATAGTAAAAAGAAAAGTGAGGAATAGAAATCTATGAAAGTATTTAATGTACATTACTGACATTATATTCTGCTTTTATTTATAATAATTTTATTTATAATAACACAGATGCAACAGATTACTGAATTGTTTGAAAAAAATTTGATATTACATTTGATATTTTATTCCAGTACAAACAGGAGGTAAGCACCGCGAAAGCTGTACCCGGTGAACTCCTCCTAACATCGAATAATATACGTTCGTTGCAAGATCTGCATTATTTTTTTACAACATTGAGTCGCAGATCGAGTGATGCACAGGCACCATTGAATATAACACAACTGGAAACAGTGATCGAACAAGATTTTCTTGAAAAGATGCCAGCTGCAAGGTAGTAGAAATATACGCATTGTAACGAGACAACTTTGTAAAGGAGAAAGATGGAAGAAGCATCTTTATTCTTTCATATTTTTTTAATGCACTAGCGTGAACATTTTGATCTAAACATGATAAATTAAGAGAACATAACTCTATTGAAAGGAGTAATCTAGTTCCATAAAATCAATTCTATACAGTTTTATCACTACACGTTGTATATCACGAACTAAATAGAACATGTATTATATAGCGATATTCGAAAGAATATTTGATTTCTATTAGTTAAGCTTCTAACTTGTCTCCTCATTCGGTTGTGAATAGTTATCAAAAGATACGCCAGGCTGGTGCCTAGCTGAATATGTATCAATATCTGTAGAAAAACATGTACAGTGTAACATAACATTTTATTGAAGTGTTATTTTTTCAACTGTTTCCAAAAAAGTTATTTGTTCTGTTTGTCATACATATTCTTCTATCCTAATATTAATGAAATTTTCGAGGGTGATCGATACAGTGAGATATATGTATATAAACTAAAATTTCTTATCTTTTTCAAATTCGTCAATTTGTGAAAAATACGAAATAGTATATCCGAGGAAATTTTATTGAGCTGATTTAGCCCACATCTTTAACAAGTTCATTTACAAGTTCATATTACTGTCATCTAAACCTTGCTTCTATTATTTTTCGTAATTTGGAAATTAAAAACAAACAACTATAAGTGAATTTTAAAGCAAATATTGGGAGATATTAATTATTATTATTATTAGATTCAAAAATTTCATATATATGAACGAGAGAATGGAAACAGGAAATGCGTTTATGCATTATGTGTGTAAATATTATTACCATGTCTTTTTATTTAAGACGGTATTGCTATATTGATTATTACTTATTACCTAAGTTTATATTAAAAATCAAATTTACTTTTATTACCTAGTAAAAACTTATTTTATTAATGAAATTATAATCTTCACACATATGATTCATTGATTTATATGTAATCAAGAAGAAATCAACAAAAAAACTTGTAAAATTATTTTTTATATATAAACACATAAAGATTTCAAGAATATGCGAGTTTTTAAACAATCTCTAAAACAAAATTTATTTATGACATATATAATTGCCAGTTTGGTTTTACTATATATGCATGTATATAAATACATACATACATACATATATATATTTATATTTGTATATATTTATATATACATTATGTTATATAATCACTACTACCTTCTTACGCTGTTTTACTTCTATTTAGATGCGGAACAAATTAACTGAATAAACATATGCAAAATACTGTACATTATTAATTGATCTTATGATTAAAGAATTAAGTAACAAGAAAAAAATGTATTTACATAAGTTATGATTTTATAGTTAGGATTTTATAATCAATGCTCGTGCAAAGGCATTTGTTACTTTCTTTGAAAAAGCATGTATAATTTAATTATTTAAATTATGTGCATAATGTAAATTATATGCATAATTTAAACGATATGCATTTGTTATTACATGAAATGGAAAAAATAACTTTTCTATTAAAAACATTTCATTCTAATTGTATAAGAATTTTCATGACGTTCATTATTATATTATAACTATTTCAAAGTATTATATAAGAAAATTGAAGAACATTTTACAAAAATTTAATGCATTTCTTTTAAACAAAATCTTTTATTTAAGCAGTTATGCAATTATTTGATAGTGTATACATTAATTTCTATATAAAATACAATTTCAATTGTTCAATGAAACAATTTGTTAAACATTATTATATCTTGTAAATATTTTAAGATATAATTTTAGTTAAACAGCTTTTTAAATTGTGCAATACTTCCATGATAATATATATATTTTTCATAAAATATATATATTATCTTTCTTGCTTTTCAATTCCTCTCTTTATTTCATATTTTTGTTAACAAACAGATCAAGAATTCAATGATGGAAGTATTGCACAATTAAAATGTGAAACATTGTAAAACATATTGACAAAGACAAATTAAGTGGTATTCATATATATTTATGTTGAAATATGTAAATTTATACAATAAATTAATGTTCAACAAAATACTGCACAATTCACCTGCTTTTTCATCCCGTATTCATCAATTAAATATGAAATTGAAATTATTGTAATCTGCATATTTAAATGAATTTCACGTATGATCGCGTCTGATTTATTTGTATCGCTAAACGCGAGGCCAATGTTTCCACAAAACCATTCAGAATTCAATTCAAATTTTTTTGTTACTATACTTATCTAATTTATAATTTATGTATATATAAATGCCAATATAAAGGTTTTCTGGAAAATAAAATAGATTATTATTTCATAATCACGACAAATCCCAAATGCGGATTTTAAAAGTAGGAACGAACAACAGAAAACAAATCGCAATAGATTTGAATCGACCGCGGTTTTCGTATTACCTGTCTATGATTCTTGCTCGACGATCAATGATCCTCGCCACGCCATTAAAATCAAACACATTCATCAAATCAACAATTTACCATTTCTATTTATAATTCTACCACGCTCGTTACAGTTTCGGCAATACTATTTTCCAATCGATCGTGATGAACGCAGATAAAATACGTACAATGATCATCAGAGTTGAACTGAATCATACGATGGAGCGATAACGCTGCTTAAATACCGAGGGATGGTCCTTCAAGCAGCAGTTATCAAAACAAAGTGACTGCACAAAGCTACGTAAGGTGTTGTTGAATGGGGTAAGAGAAATGCCAAAGAACCGGAAGTACTTAGCTGGAAGGTGCATATGATAGACAACGGTATTAAGCAATATCCATGCACATAAGTGGTTACGCACGAGAACCGGTTCTCCTGAATTGTTACACTTGGAAAGGCTAAACTGTCCGTACGGCTCGAAACGGCCCAAGGTGAAAGTAGAATGATAAAAGAAAGATCTCAAGTTTTCAGAATGAGGATCACTCGCTGAAACGTCCGGATGGCATGCGTTACGTGACTAAAGGAAAAATGCACGCGCTGTTTAATTGCAATTTTGTAACTGGACTCTTACGTTCGGTATGGGCTGTTGGCTAACCTAATTCGCAAAGTTGATCGTACCTTGCGATCGTATCGTGTACACCGACGTGAACGTAACTACGTTTGACACACGTATCGCGGTCTGATCATTGTCGCATTAAATTACGATTAAAGGGGACGTTGTGGAAAGACAACGGTACACTACCAAATTTGTTTACAATGGCTGTGCCTAACAAGTGGGAGAATGTTTGTAGATTATGCTCGGAAGAGAAGAACGAGATGCTGTCGATTTTTGGCAATGAAGGTGTACAACGTAAAGTGGCGCAAAAGCTACGTGCCTGCCTGCCAGTCTTAGTGTACAAAACCGATCCACTGCCAAAGCAAATATGTCAGTTCTGTGCCGCCAGGCTGGATGACGTTTACGAGTTCAGAGAATATTGTTTAAGCGTTTACAAGAGCATGCATTTGAAGCTGTTAGCTTATAAGAATGTTGAATCTGTTCAAATTTATTTAGAAGCGATGAAAAATTCCCCAGATCCTTGTCAGGTATATATAACATTTTCTTTTATATCGTGTAATTGTATATATATTGTTGGATAAACGTCGTGATCTTTAGGCTCAACTATGGAGAGAAAAAGCTAGAGCACCGCCACCTTTAGTACCTTTGCCAGTTTCACTGCCAGTTGAAAGTCCATCAATGTCAATGGATGTTAGCCAGGAGCATCAAAATAATTGCATGGAGTCGTTACCTGAATTACCATGTGAAGTAGAGATCAAAGAAATGACTACAGAACCAATATTAGGAACAAGTGTTAATGTGTACGAATCGTCACATAAAAATAATGTAGAAAATGAACTGTATAATAAATTAGATATAATAATGGAACAAAATACAAGTTTATTAAAAGAGGAAAGCAATAACTTGAGACAAGGAGTACAAGTAAAGGAGGAAGAAAAGAGGACGAGTATTTTAGAACAAGTGCTAATGGGTAGTTTGACAATGAACGACAGAAAAGACTTAAATTCAAAAACAAAGCTATCCTCTAAGTGGTGGTGTGCTCCTTGCAATAGTTATTACAGGTAAGTTTTTGCTAGTTTCAATGTATTTTGTGCACAGTTTTGTAATTAGTAATTTTTCATTTTAGGACAAAGGAAAGTTTAATGAAACACATGCAATTACATTGTCCAAGAAAGTACAATTGCAGAAAATGTTCTGCTTGCTTTGAGTTGGTAGAAGACTTGGCTAAACATGAAGCTACCAATCACTTAAAAGTAACGTTAGACTTTGATAGAAGTGTTCTAGATTGTGATCAATGTGACAGACAATTTGTTAGTTGGGAAATGCTGAAAAAACACAGATTATGTGATCATTTAACTCAAATAAATGAAATTGGGTCCAATACATGGTGCTCCTTATGCAATAGGTTGTGTATATTTTCCATTCGTAAATACATTTTTTTTTTACCATAGCAGTTTTGATTTAATTTCTTCACTTCATAGATTTTTTCCAAGTATGGAAAATTATCAAAGTCATATTCAGTTACATGAAATCAGTAATTATACATCAACAAAAGCATTACAATTAATGAATCAACAGTCAGTAAAGGTTCTCAAAAATGAAGAAACTTCAAAGGAAGTAAAGAGGGAACACTTTGCAGATGCTTCTAAATCACTTACTTGTCCTACTTGTGGAAAAGTAAATAATTTTATGCATGCCTTATAAAAAGATATTGTTAACATTATATTAAATTATGTTAAATTCTCGCTTTTTCTCTACAGATCTGTACTCAACAAAGTGCGTTATCAAATCATATGCGCACTCATGAACCAAAAAGACATAAATGTGATATATGTGGACGATCATTTGGACTTTTTATACGTTTAGCAGCCCATAGAATGAGCGAACACAGTCAACAACCTACAATGTCGCCCGTAATGGCTAGTGTTGAACAAGAAGAAGCTTTGAATGCTGAAAGAGAAGCTAAAGAAGCAAGAGAAGCCAAAACTCGCGCATCAAAAACTAGAACATATTCAGAGGTTTAATTACATCTATTTATTTATATATTATTTAAAAAATTTGAAAATATATGAAAATATAAAGATATAATTATAATATTATAAATTACAGATGATAGAAAGAGAGGATATTCCTAACCATGAAGAACCACCTCCAAAAAGAAATGTTCCATTAAATACCAATGCATTTAAAAATGTGGCAAGATGTGGTATCTGTTTACAATGGTTTAGTGATCACACTACGATGTTAACGCATTTACAAACACATTCGGATAATTACACTTGTAAAAATTTCACCTGCCATATATGTAAAAAATCTTTTAAAGAAAAGTGGCAATTATTTAGACACGAGGTATATATTTATTATTTTTGAATTGTATTTCTTTTATGCTCTCTGTTTTTATTTCAATAATAGGTATCTCATAAACCAACTGACTCTGCAACAATGTACACATGCACAGTATGCAACAAATCGTTCGTAGATAAAAATACGTATAAAATGCATCAGAAAACGCACATTGTTGACAAAACATATCACTGTCCTAAGTGTAATAAGATATTTTTTAAAGAAGTATGTTTGCTAACTCATCAGTGCACAGAAACTGTGTTCAGTAAAAAAGCAGTTTCCTCAAAATCTTCGCAAAAGTCTGCCTCGTTGAGTAACAGCAAAAGGTATAAATGTTCCAAATGTAATGCGTCTTTCAATAGTTTTCAGTCGAAAAATTCTCATATGAGAGTGCACATGGAAAGTTCACATACAACGGTAAGTATTTGTACATTTGTGAAAATTATTTTTATCGGTTTTTAGGTATTTAACGTATTTGAAAATTCGCTTTTTTAATTATTTGTATAGGTACGAAAGCAAGATTTAAAGGAAGAATCAGAAGAAGAAAAAACTATGCCGAAATTAATTCCTGAGACGTCATTGGAATATTCGGTTTCTACTATCGAACCGAAAATAGAAATAAATGAAGAAAGTACACCACCTCCAGTTAAACGAACTTTAATCAGGACAACCGGCGGGTAAGATTTAAACGTAAAAATTAAAAAGTTTTATGAAATATTAATATCTGTAATATATAAAACAGGTATCGCTGTGGAGTATGTCAGTCTCCATTTATTTTACGAGAATTAGCTGTTGCACATTTGAGATCTGCACATCCTTTGATGCCATATCAATGCCCTTACTGTAAAAAAAGGTTTACCACGCAATATACATTCACACATCATATTAAAGCAGATCATCCTGATGAGCATGAGAATTGAACTGTACAAACGAATATGCCAAATGGTTGTTATACCATAAAATAATGCCTTTAAGAATGGTAACTTTTGTTTATATACGAAAGACGTATAATTACATATAAATATATATATATATATATATATGTATATATATATTAACAGTTATCGGTTTTACGCTGAAACTGTATTATTTGATAATCTGGCATTCTAGTTCCTGAACAAAATAATTGGCCTTAAATAAAAAATTTTGTAGTTCTGTTTCATGAAAAGTAGGAAAGAAAATATATGTAAGTATACACACATACACACACACACACGCACGCACGCACACACACATATACATATGTATGTACATATATACATTCATATACGATATATTCATAAATAAATATAGATTGTGTTGATCGAAATATAGTTTTTAATAATAAATAAGTATGATTTATTAATAGGAGACTGGAATAGAACTAGTACTTATACTAAACGTGCCTGTTTGAGTACTGTATCATAGTGCTGTATGAACTTTTAGTCAAATTGATTTATGAATGCTGAAAAATTCTGTATTATTGTATTAGATATTATATGTATCGTTCATTAGCGATACCTCTATGGAGTTGTATACATGTGTTGTCTGTTATATCATATATTAGCGTTAACAGGTATTCCTTCTTTTTTTTTCATAAGGAGATTCTAGAAATCCTAAAAATGCTTTTTTTTATTATTTCGACTAAATCTAAGAAAATTAAGTAACTAAGTAATAAAAGTAAACCTAGGAAATAAAAATAAATAAGCAAACTTATTATAAATTATTATCATTGTTTTATTTTATATATAGAATATTTACAATAAAAAATCACTATCAAGAGAAAGCTTTGTACGCTTACTAAATAAATTTTTATTACAAAATATAATTATTTGTGTGGTGTTTTTCTGAAAATAGTTTAATTTAAATAAACAATATTTGTTAAAATTACATTACATATTGGTTTTTACGCATTATTGTTATTTATAAATATAAACTTACAAATGTATTTGATAAAAGTAAGTAACACATGATCGTCGATAGATGGCGAGATTACAACGTTTTACAATTACTCTATATATATGTGTCTGAAATAAGTAATTAAGATTTTTAATGGATCAGTTATAATTTTATGAAAAATTAATAAAAAAAATTTGAAGAAAAGATACTGTACTATAAACCAGATATGTTTTTTTGTTAAAATACAAAAGATAAAGATAAATGTGTTCAATGTTTGATTATATTGTCCACATACTACTAGACACTGTATGATCATAAGTGGTCTTTATCACTTTATTACTGTACGATTATAAATGGTCTTATCACTTCTCTAACTATAATTTGTAGTCTGAACATGGATTGACTTTATCAAATTGTAAATACATCTTCAAAAATAATTTTAGATGAACTATGCAGTCGCAACTGGAATCTGTTTAATTATGTAAATCACATAATTTTAAAGTTTAACAGAAATAACATGAAACATTTATAATTTAAATTACTCACACTGTAAAAAAAAATCAATAATTCAGAATTCGATAAGAAATTAAAATTCATACGGAAAATGAACGACAAATGTTACCCTTATAATAAGCCCAGACGCGCTTATCTTTTCGAAACAATGATCAATAGATGATCAATTTTGTTATGTTTCCACACGACTTTGCCACATACTTTCTTAAAGGACAAACGACAACAAACGATACGAAATTTTAATTAATACAAATTCTAATGTAAGTTTCAGATAAGGAAGAAGAAATATTTTTCAAAATTGTTGAAAGAATTCGAACGTATTTTAAGAGAAAGCTGTTAAACCTTGATAAGAAAAATTGGCTCCGGTACTGATGGGGTACGGTGGTGAACGTGGTGGGTGGACGTAAAGCGCATGGAAAAACCAGAGGGGGCAGATCTGCCGCATAGCCGACGGAAACTAGTCTGACCCTCATCAGACGCGACGCGTCCGCGATCACGTACGGTGCACCACACAAGAAACCAGAAGGTTCGTACACGTTCGTTCAGTCATTTCGGACGTGAGAACGGAGAAAGAGACACTACTTGAGGCAAGGACTTGTCTATCGAACACTGCCATCGTATAAATTCTCTTCATTCGTTCTATCTTTTGAACACCTTCTCGAGTTCTCCAGGTGGATTTACAATTTGTAAAAAGAAATTTATATAAAAATTGACCGCAACTGTAATCGGGCCTGCCGTGTGCGAACTTTCCATGCAGCGAGGGTGGAGGAAACACGTCCGAAGTGACTGACTACAACGTGACTGGCTGAAACACATGGTCCGGTGATCGTGATCATGATTGCAAATCGTCTCGCGCCAATCGTCACCCTCGTCCTCGTGGTTCTGCTGTCGACTATCCATCACGGTGAGTCCAATTTTTCGCGTCCCTTTCAGTCATCACTGGTCTCATCTCGATGCTCGTTTCGATCCTCAAACGAACTTATCGCCATGTAGAAAATTCGTACGCACGAAATGCATACGTTTGTCCAGCTATCACAGGAAAGTATAAAGTATATAACGTATAAAATGAAAGGTCATTTTAACGACTTTTGATTTCTGATCCAACCGATAGATTCACAATCAATACGTAATTCTTTGCTTCTTATCGTGACTCTCCCTTCGGAATCAGCGCACGCGAGCGTGCATGCTTCAAAACTCACGTTACCTACTTCCATCGATTTCCATGGAACGTAATATTTCCGTTAGAATAAAGTCAGGCAGTCAGCAATAAAATCAAAGCAGAGATTTTATAATCGCTATGATATTACCTAGAACAGATATGAAAACAAACATCAGGAAAGAAAATTTCTCGTTACGTTACAAGTTGACCGAAAAAATTGAATTTTTTAAAGGAGTTACGTACATATATTGCAGCGCAATGCAGTGATCGAAGAGCAGCTACATAATACTAATTTCGATGCACTATTATTTCTGCATTAAAAATCAGCTGTAATTTCTTCTAGTAAGCAGAAGTTATTCGAGCTACAAAAAAAAAAAAAAAAAAAAATGCGATATTGATTTCGGTGTTACATAAAAGGCACGATCGAGCTTTCATCGGCCGCAGTCCTTGCAACTTTTCGGTCACGTCTTCCTTATCACCTTGATGTTCCTATCCACCTTCCATTCGTAACTATGTAAACTGCCTGAACTTCTCGAAAATTTCGTCCTTCGTGTTATAGATCGATAGTTCGATGGATTATGTCACACGTCGAGGGGCACATAGAGCTAATGCAAATGAGGGCAATTAGTATGAAGTAAGATAACGTGCTATAGAGGACATTCCTGTCCTGTAGAGGATTATGGTGTTCCAGATGTTCGTCAGGGAACTCGTACAATAGTAGCACTTGTGGTACTTCCCCAGTGCTTGCCTGGAAGTACAGACTGTACTTAATTTCTAAATTGAATCTCATTATAAAAGTATATCACGCGGAAAGGAAACGGGTCGCCGGAAATAGGAAATATGAAATATTCCATTGTGATAAAACGAAAAAAAAAAAAAAAACGATGGAGAAGAATTATTAAAATCGAGAACAGAAACACTTCGGGAACGTATTGCCGAATGATCAGACGTAACTATGTTCTCAAAATAGTATAATCTGCCGTTTCTTATCTAGATCTCACAGTGGTGATAAAAAGATTAGACAAGAATGATTTAGTCAGTAAACTGTGTATTTCTAGGGACAAAAGAAATGACTAGCTTGGTGGAGGTCGTTCCATTAAAGAGAGCGACTTTCACAAAGGTTTAAAGCGCTGCGACAATGCGACAGAAATGTATCGACTTTTCGAAAGAAACAACTATTTCTATAGCGTTTAGTGCGTAATATTCAACGTCTGTAGAATAATTACTATAATACATTCGCGACTACTATGATACACGAGAGTGTAACACATTTTAAGGAACGACAGCTTCTCGATACAAACGATTTAATGAGGATCGATTATTCGCGATCGGTTTAATGAACGAAAAAACATTTAAAAATTGTAATAAGTCTTCGTGGAAGTATATAAATCGAGTGGTGAAAATATGAAATTCTCGTGTGACGTAAGCGATGTATTGTTGCGTGTAATTGGCTTCAATCGTTAGATGGTGACTTTAAAGGAACCACTTCACAACTGGTCGAACTTAAAGCTGCTTTGTCGAATCTGATTGCAATTGCGTCGCGGAATCGAAAGGAAAAATGCTGACGCTCGGTTATTTCAGCTTCCTTTTGAAAAAAAAAAACTGACTAAAATCGCCAGTTGGTCGATGAAATTTGTTAAAATTTAGAATTTTGGTTCATAGAACCTGGCCCCCGCGAGGGTTATCGAGCGACCCACTTTCTCCCCTCCCACCCTCTGCATTCTCTCACACTCTTCTTCGAATTCTATTCTCCCTGCACCGCGTGGTACCGTGACCAAGGGGACGTTCCTTGTGTTAACCTTGGCTTATGGACAAATGTTTTATAAAATTTGCATTGTCGCGTCATGTCCGTGCAAACTGTGTGTCATCCAGCATTGTTCGTTCCTTCAAGTAACTCCGGCGACTCGCTCAAACAAATCCAAACAGTTAACGAAACACAAAAGGAAAGAATATTTTGTTGATTTAAAAATGTTCACGCTAAAAAAAGAAAAATGTTAAGTGTATTAATCAATGTTAATCCTATAGTTGGACGAGAACTATTGTCTTAGTCAGCGTTCCTCCTCCTTTTTTTTTTTTTCTTATCAGGGATGTTTTTATGTCAACGAGGGAGAGGCATCTGGGCCGATCCCTTCGTTTCAGTTCCTGTCGATTACATAAGGACCTGCAATGTCACGCAGCGCTTGTTAGTTCCTCACGCGACTCACCCCTACCGTCTACCCCGGCTGCTCTGTCCTATTTACTGCTGATCGAACGTCTCGTGTGGTTTCAAATGTCGTTGAAGAACCTTCTGTGCACACACAGTTCTGATCAATGTTTTCGCACGTCGTGCTTACTGGTCGGTATAACGCAATATTCATCTAGCTCGGCAATACCACGGCACATCGACTTGTCCTCTTTAATCAAATCGCCAAAGGATTTTCATCTTTTTTGTGACTACGGTGCAATCGACTGTGCCTATTATGCTAATTTCATGCTCGAATGACTTTTAGTTGCTGTACAAAATTTTAGGCAAGAAACGCCGAGTTTTTTGCCAATACACCTGTGAAAAGTGTTTGACAATAATACTCACAGGAGGTGATGCCAGTGATTATACATTAAATGGCTCCTTTCTAAAGAATCCTATTAATGATTCGGTAAAGGAATTTTGTATTTTAACGATACGAAGCTTGCCATTGAAAGCGGCGCACCAGTGAAATGCCCTACAGAATTTACTCAAGGTCAGGGTACCGAGCCGCATCATCTATATTTCCTTGCACGCTCGGCCTAAATTCGGCTAATCAAAGAAGCCAACGAGGGAATGTAAAATCTCGTTTATGCAATTTCATCTTCTAATTAATAAGCAAACACTTTTCCACTAAATTACGCACGACCGATTGAATTATAATCGGTGTTCTTTCTTTTGACAAATTCTGCTAATAAAACAAAAAGTATAAAGAATCTTTTAAATTATTTTAAAAATATTTAACTGTTCCGTGTCAAGTAATTAAATTTTATTTACCTCAATTTTACAAAACATAAGTTTGAAAATTTATGACCAATGAATATACGACCATCTCCAGTCACATTTCTGTCGCCAGAATTTGCAAAATTTGTTCTCCTATTGTTGGACCTATTTTCCTATGTGTGTATCAGTAGGTCATCGCATTGGTTGGGGTCTTCCTGCTCGATATCAGCTGGTGCTGTAACCAGTCTCGTCGGGAGGGTGAATGGGGTTGCGTGGTGACGTCACAGCGCGGCAGGGCCGTAGCCAATCACCAGCAAACTGAATATTTCGAATTTCAAATAAAACGATAGTTACTCCTAAAAGAAATGTAATTTCCATTGACAGTTCAATAAGATTATCTTACAATTTATAATCATTATTATCAATCAAATACTCATCAACGTTCGACGTCAAAAAAGATCTAATCGATAGACTGCTCTTCTTTTCAGTTCGTTACAATTGTTCATTATTTTAAGCGATGATCTATTTAGATTAAAAACAATTACCAACAGCGTTGTATGTTATTTATCTACGTTCTACAGCTTTTAACAAAGATTAACGAATTAATTACATAGATGTATCATAATACAAGTACCTGCATATTAGTGGCCCAGTTTTGAGCAAGTTGCAGCACGCGATAAGGGTAGCGCACAAGGAGCCGCAACTTATAAAATGGATGATTCCTCTAAGTTCTGACCTACCCTATTCTAATCGATAGAATAGCCTAGCGTTTCAGCGTTTCGTTACGAAACAAAAAAAATTCAGTTTATTTGTGATTTATAAAAAAAAACTTCTTCCCTCTTGAAATCTTTCGCCTTCTGTCATTTCTTTTCAATTATTCTAAAATTTAGTCGACCTGCAATAAGTAAAAAATGTTCGTAAAAAATTTCTACACCATAAATCATCGAATTTGTAATATCAATGCCGAATATTTTATTTTTACTCAGTATTTGATGTAAAATTCATTTTTCCAGGAGAAGCAATAATATGCTATCAATGCAACAGCGAATACGATCCAAGGTGTGGCGATCCATTCGATCCGTACAGTCTTGGAACGGTGAACTGCAGCTTTCAGCCACGTTTAGAACATTTGAATCACCTGGAGCCTGTCCTTTGTCGAAAAATCAGTCAAAGAGGTATTTAGTATAATTAGTAATTATCTATTATACGCATGATAACATTGCTACAGAAGCCTTCGCGTTTGGAAATACATATATGAAAACGTTCGTACACTGTATAACAGACCATTAATTAGCCCGATGCACACAAATGACGCGATTATTTCACTTCGTTTAATGATCTTCGTTGTGATCTCGTTCTTGTCCTCGTGTGACAATACTACGATTCTGTGGATAAGCTATGATCGTTTTGTAATATTTTTCCGTTGTTTTTGTTTCTCTTGTGTCTCTTGTGCGGAGATCGTACTGTAATTGCGTCGCTCGTATGCAAGTTTTATATTCAAATTGTGTGGCATTTGTTATCGGGCAAGAGTAAACTGCATTGCGACAACCCTAAAACTTATTAGATCTCTAGTACCCTAAAACTTATTAGATCTCTAGTAGAAAAAGAACGCGCGTGGCATCCTCTTCAGAATCACAATACCGTTAAGGAGAATATTCACGAAGCCATTTGTGATTTTCTCTCAAATAGCGCTTACATAATCCCCTCACAAGCTCAGCCATTCTATTCTTCTGAAGTTTGGGATTGTGCGCACGTGTTTAATATTAAATAGTACCACCTGTATTTTCAGCGTAAAACTCTACTCAAATTTTTATTCTGTGTAGAATATATATAAAATTTACATAAATTACGAAAAAATATTAACCTTTAATAATAACATAAATACCGTATTAAGAAGATAATCCACCTATGTACCTGAATATACACGCTTTTGACAATTTCTGGACGACTGAAAATTGATTTTATCGACTCGATACACGAGTCTGCAGCGCGCCAACTTTTTAACTTAAATGGCTTACCTCTGTGCTTATTTAATTTCGTTAGCGAGTTAATTATTTGGCACCTAGGTGTCGTCCCGTTCAAAAAAAATTGCAACTGGGAAGCTTATTGTAACGTTGTTGTGACTTTGATGAATTTCCAGTGTACGGGAAGATCAGAGTTGTCAGAGGTTGCGGATACATAACGGACAAGAGAGACGATGCCGATTGCCTGATAAGATCAGGCACTCACGACGTTCATGCAGTCTACTGTGCATGCACCGGTGATCTTTGTAACTCGGCCGAAAGCCGCACGCCGTCCTTCTTACTGCCGTTGACGTCTTTGTTGACGGTTGTCCTGACGATGCCGAGTTTCCTCCTTTCGTGCCCGTTCGCAATACCTGTCCTAACCTCGCCGCACTTCTCCATAGCCTAAACTACTCCAGCCACCAGCGGACAACACTTTAACGCCTAAAAACTGAATCAACGATGCAATAGAGAGAAGACCGTTCGTTCGGATCCGGAGCAACTCGTTTTCCTGTCACTGTTCCTCCCCGTTCGTGTTAGATCGCGATACATTTTAGATCCTGTACACATATACGTACGTATAAATTAAGAATAATCGAATAAGCGAATTTCAACAAAAGTTTCAATCTTGGAAGTTAAACATTTCACTCGATTCGTTGAATTTTTTAACGTGTTTTAATCATTCCTAGCGAAACGGGACGCCGGGAACTGGGACTAGTTGAACGAGTTGAAACGTAATTACGTATTGCTCTGTCATTGTTATTTAAAAAAAAAAGATGCCCGGTCGAGAGCATAGAGAAATATATGTGTGTAAAATATATGCACATATTATATATATATAATTTATATATATATATATATATTGTATATATTACAATATATATTATTTTATATATTTTATATTTCTATTAATATATATTATAATATATATTACACACACACACACACATATATATATATTATATACACATATTGTTCCAGGATTCGAATGATTCGAAGGCAAAAGTAGTCAAATTACAAGATAGTAGCTCTTATGGTGATACAAACTGCCAGATACGCAAGAGCGTACTTCAGTAGTACACTTTACAAGAAGATTTAAACGGAAAGGAAATAAAAAAAAAAATACACACATACGGCCTCCGCACGTGAAACTACCCAAAATATCTCGCATAAGTGTAGAAAATAAAGAATGGAAAGGAACTAATTACAAGAAAAAGGAACCTCAAAAGATACATATATATTAATATATATATATGTATGTAACGTAGCGCCATTGCGATTACATTCGCATTTTGTGCTCTATCGCTAAATGGATGAAACAAAAGAAAAAAATATATATATACATACAAATATATATTATATTTTATTGGAAGAGAAACAGAAATGGAATTGCACGTAAGAAAGATATTACAGCTTATTTTTAGAGAAATAACATCGGGTTGCTTTCGTGAATGCCGGGTATTATACTGCAATATTTGGAAAAAAGATAAGAAAAACAAGAAGATGGAAACATATCAAGGAGCAAGTTACCCTGCCCTTTGTTCAAACGAAGAAACGATGAAACAAATAAATAAGATTCGGCATTACGATTGCGACCCGTATTTCGCTGATTTTTGCAATAAAATGCTGTGTAAAATGATAGACGATAGCGGAGGAAATGAAGAAAAAAAAAAGAAAAAGAATATACTGACGTGCGTATGTGTGCGTGTATGGCGAGCGTGCGTTCGTACGTGTGTGTGCACGCGGCTGCGTGAATGTGTGCGTGTATGTATACGTATATTTGCGTTAAAGGAACGCTAAAAGATTATTAACGGATATATATAGTTCGATTAAAGCGAAACGTTGCTACTTCTTCGATCGTAGCCAACTAATGAAGAGTCAGTAAATTAAAAGAATAAAAAAAAAAGCATGAACAGAAAACCAAAAAACAACAAGTGTCGTAAACGAAAATCATAATGAAGATGTAGAAACTATCGTCAATGGAGAAAGTAGAGGATAAAGTAGAACGCTTATTGAAACAAACGAAAAAAAAAAAATTAATAAAAATATAATAAAAATGAACACACACATGTCTCACCGCAGTATGTATAATTAATCGCCGCTACCGCTGTTGTCACTGTGTCATATCGTCACCATCGTTATATTATTATTACGGTTGCTAATTACTACCATCAGCATCGGTACTACAGCTATTAACTGCTATTATTAACTAACTAATCAACTAATCATCGTCATTGTTATTAATATTATTGTTGTATTATTACTGTTAGGATTTGTTTTCGATGTTATTATCGATTAATAGTCAAAGTAAAATACGGATGATCTCAACAGAACGGACATGAAACGATGGCGAACGTTTTGACACGTTTTAGAAGGTTCCGATTAAAAAATCATCGGAAACGGTAGCAAATATGAACACCGACTATTTAAATCTGCTTGATGATCGTGGTTTTAAACTTCAGTTCATCTTGAACTGCGGATGACGACACACGACGAAGAGGCACGGAAACATTTTTTTAATACACGTCCAATTAAAGATATACATCTGTATATCCTCATCCATACGTCGCAGATTGTCTCCAAGAAAGCTGCCAGAAAAATTTTCACTGAAAAATATAATTATACGTACTCCACGACGATTTTATTCTTTTTCTTTCTTACATCTGATATATGTAATACACGAGGAGAATGCACGTCACTTCAAATGAAATAAAAATACCTGGAGCAGTAGGTAAAAACAGACAGCCGAAGGCAGAATAAATAATAAAGACAGTTGAAAATGTATATTTACGTATTTCGTTATGTTCCGCTCAATTAGATTAGGGGCGATTGACCTGGTTGGTTCTGTTAGAAAATATTAAAAATCGAATGTATCTCAGAAATGCCTAGTATGTGATATTTTAGGCTTTCTTATTTTTGCTTAAGATTCGAATGTAAATGTGACTTAAAAGAAAATGTAATTACATAGTTGTTCGTCTCTATGTAACGTTTAAATCAATCTCGAAGTCAGATTCGAGAGATTAGAACTTTGTCTCGAATTGTTCTAACTAACAAATTAGTGCATGACAGTACATAAAATTGTTATAGTCTATTACAGAAGGGAAAGAATGGCGATATTCGCGATAAGCAGAGAAATACGCGAGCATATTGCGATAGACAAAATATCAATGAAATTTTTTGTCACTATACTTCGTTCAATGTATCTTGATCAGCGATGACCATAGGAAACTGTCAATAATGAATAAAAATAAACATTAATGATACGTTTTCTTAGTCTTCTCTTTCCTTCTAGCGTGCCTGTGGCACATCGTAGAAATTTTACCTAATATCGAGCGGAATGTAACGAAACCGTTTCTCCGAGCAATTGTTTATATGAAACATTTAATTAATTTTCATACATATCATCCGCCCATATTCACTTCATGATGAAATAAAACTACTGGCAACACTGCCCCCGTAAAGCATATCGAAAAAAAAAATAAGTAAAAGAGAAAAGGAAAAAAGTATTTCATTTGAATAGTTTACATATTTTGTGATTTTGTGTTACATAAATATATTTAATTAACAAAACATGCCAGGTCATGATTGTAATATTTCAGTTTTATTGTAATATTTATTCTATTAATGTTGCATTGTACGCATTGATCATTATGTACAGAGAATATTCTGCCAATAAAGTGTTGAATGGTTATAAAAAAAAAAAATCGAACAAACAGAATCAAAATTATATTTCATGTATCAGAAACCTTGCAAGTTAACTGATCTATTATTCAGCAATTGCAATATTAATGTACAGAAATAAATGATATTTTCTTTTGCGATGTATCATTGACTCATATGACCTTCATTTATAATTAAATTAAAAGACAGAAAAATGCTTTATAGCGCAGTATTTTTTTTTGTAGGTAAATTATCATATACATTCATGTATCTTCAATATTTGTTACTATAATGAACTGAATAAGCAGTTGTATAATTATGCATGTGAATCGCTAGAAAAGGTAAGTAATAAATCACAATGCCTGATAATGGTATGTAAAATACAACATATTATTCCATATCGAGGAGTTGATTTAAAGTAAATAATGCATATTAAGTGTAGAAAAATCTTAACTGCTAGGCTAAGTATTTTTTTTTATGTAACAATCTCTATATAATAGTAATAAGTAAAAAGTAAAACTTCGCGCATATTAGACAATAGCACCATATATAATATATATAATAGATTGCAAAATTAGAGGAACGTTATTTACGTAGTTACGTATTGTTTAGATTGAAAATGTTCTCAATATTATGTAATAACAGCTTTCAAAAAGTAGAAAATTTTGTATAAAAATTTCTGTTAATTAGCAATAAAAACAATATTTGCACTTATACGCAATATTCATTTTTTAGTTTTCAATTGGCATTCATAAGGCACGAAGGTCGATGTTTCGATGGCTGGCCGGAAGACACAGAAGCACTCGATCAGCGTGTCTATGAATTAACTTACACAATTACATCTTTATCTTCACTATGAATATATAAAATTATCGATTGAAAAACTAGCCTATTTTGTTACTAGTGTCATCATGGCATATAAATATATAAATGCGTAAGTGCTAGTGTGAAAGCAAATGTCTAATACTGTGGTATCTTGTATGAAAAATTTTTTTTTAGAAAATTTGATATTCAATTACTTAGAGTTAATAAAAATAAAATTTTTATGATTAACATCGTCAAAAAACTAGCCAACTTTTTGATAGCCTAAATATATTTTTATAAATGACAAATTAGAAAAATTTTTTAGAAAAATAAGTTAGAAAAAATAAGTATCTGAATTATGATATATCTGGAAAGTACAAAGAGAAGAAATTAAATTTTCTTCATATATACTAATATTGTAATTCCATTTAGTCGACTAGAAATTCTTGAGTTTATAAACGTTTTAATCAGAAATTAGCATCTCCACAATATAAACGTCGCGTGGGTGAGTAACAAAATTTATAGTACTTGGTCATACTTGGATATTATAAATTGGAACAGCTGGATTATTATCTGAGGTAAGCGTACGTCGTTAAATTCAATTCGAATGTTTTGGAAACATTGAATGCTTAGTGTGCTAAGTATCCGAAAATATAACTATATCAGCTGATTTTTCCTCTTCCGTTGATACAAATGGTGTGACTACTTGCATGTTGACTGATATATACAAAGGATAAGTAAGTTGTTTGTCCAGGGACATTACTTGTTTCTAAAACGTAAACTCAGTTTCTTAGCGACTTTAATAACTTCTTAAGATTAAAAAATTCATAAATGCTACTTACTTCTTCGTTCTTATGAAGCGATAACCTAAGCATACCCGAACTCTGAATGTGTTTCACTTGACGTTGCTCATCCAATGAAATTAGACTTACTCTGAAAAGTAAATTTTTTCAAAATTTTAATTTATTATTATTACATTATCATTTGAAAGATTACAATTTAAAATAATACTAACTTTAAAATTATATTGTGCTTGCCATGATTAGCTTTTATATGATCTGTCTCTAATCTGTGATTTCTTTTAATTCTCAAAGTAGTACTATCCAAGCACACCACCAAATCTAATCCAAAATGAAATGCTGTCCATCTCCAAATATGCTCACCAGCTTTTTCAATGCATCTTCCGCAACGGAAACATTCACGAGCGAATTCTTCTTCACTCATTTGTTTTGGTCTAAAATAGTTAACACAAAAAAAAAAAGATTTATACTTTATACCTGTCTTCATTCATTAATTATTTATTACAATAATTATATTATTACGAATAAAATAATTGTCACAGATACCTAAAGTGGAACAAACATGGGAGTAGGTTTTTTAGACTGAAAATTCTGTCCACAAAACTGGTTGTAAAAAAGAAGGGAAGAAAAAAGGAGCCATATTTGAGACTCTTTACTATGTCCATCGACCTAAGCATAGATCATAGATACATTTAGAAAAAATAAAACCTTCATGACTTACCCTCGATCTTTATTTGCATCTATTCTTAGTAAATGTAACCATTGCTCTTTATATGCATTATGCAACCATTCGTGTGGTATTAGATTGTCACTATATAAAATTTTTACATCCTGATCATGTAGTAAAAGATATTTCATTCTCAGCGCTTTAAAAGGTGCTGCAAATTCTTTGCCTTCTTCTGTTGTAAGGAATGGTTTTGTCCATTTATGATTTCTAAAATATTCATCAATTTGAAGTGTTTCTTCTTTATTGTGTACATGAACAAATAACCTAAAATACAATTTATAATTATATAACAATCATATTTAAAAGTATTTTTAACTTTAAATAACTGTTTCTGTATTTCACTACTCACCATACACGTAGCATCATATAAATGCAAAATTCCGTTTGCATAGCAATTAAGTCAGGACTAGCAATTAACTCAGCCATCAAGTCAGGTGTTATCTCTTTTAAAAAAGTAGGATGTAACCATCCATATCCTAAAAGATTCACTTCCAACCACCGTTTTGCTGCAGTTTTTACTACTGGTACACCATAAGATACAGCAGCATTATAGTAAGGGACAACTGTCTTTATATTTGTTGTCTCTACCATAATATCTGTACATTGATCAATTAATCCTTGCAATTGAAATAATGTAGAGGTAGCCAAAATTGATATAACATCTTTCGGTTCTAAACTGACTTCATCCTGGTAAAATGAACCAAAGACTGTCAAAAGAGCTGAAAATATATAGGATTAAGAACAAATCTTACTTTCAAATGTTATCACAATGGAAAAAATATGAATTAAAAGAAAAAATTATTTACAATCCAATGTGATGTTAGGGTCAGCGATTTCTACACTTATAACTGTTTCATTTGCTTCCCTCCAAGATCCTGAAAACATACTCGCAAAATATGGACTCTGCAAAAAGTAAGTAATATATAAAAATTTAACATAAAAATGAAATACACTCGCATGATATATTAAAATAATGATTCTACCTGACTTATATAAACTTTATGTAATCTCCATGCTTTTCCCAACATGAGTACAGTTATATCACTTCCCTTTTCTTCTTGAAACAGAGTTTTGTAAATATATTGTGCCGTTGTTAGTAATTTTCTTCTGTAAGAATTAAAAGGCTTAATTATGATATACACATATAAAATCATTGAGATGAAAAGCAGCTTAACAATTAGTTACAATATAACATTGTTGGACACCAATTAAGACATTAAGAAGTTTTCTTCGATGATGCTATTGATAACATTTTATAATACGCTTGATTAATCAACACCAAGGTAAAATTATTCATCAAAGATTCTCATACTTTTTTGGCGTTTGAAGCGTCCGATCAATGTAATCCGATTCAGAATCAAGTTCGTCCTCCTCAATGCACTTTCGTTTACGACCACGGTATACAGAATGCACTGCATTGTTTGACATTGATGCAATTTTGCTCACGTAATTTCCCATTTTTTGTTGTGTACTTCAATGAGCAAAAGAAATTTTCAGTTCAATTTTTAATATATCCGTCAGTATTCTAAACATTGCTTTTTAATACAGAGAACTGTAGGTCCACTGCGTGTTCAGTGTGAAGAACAAAAGTCTGTAAGTGTCCCTCATGAAATCTGCAATGTACCATGTACCTATGTGCATATGCACATGGAATATATGTATATATGCATGTAAACATGTGACGTAACAAAAGATATGAGACATACTTCAATAAGTTGAGTCAGGTAAATACAATTGATCACGTGACACTACAGCCATTGGCTAATAGTCACTAGTGAATTACATCCATCAGAGTTAGTTTCGCAGAAAACGTTCAAATTAAGCTGCTCACCAATAATTTTGCTCTGAACTTTCCATTTATATTGATGTTTAATTTCGTTCAGTTCGATTTTATGACGTCTTGGAATTGTAAATTGATTCTGATTCCCCTAGATTTTGGTCATATGATTTTATTTACATCTCTTGACTTGAATTTCTATTGGTCAGAATAAAGATTGAGCAGGGATCCATACAGACATGTATCGTTTGCGGGTAAAATAATGCTCAAGTTTCTTGCAATTGGATATTTCTTTCTGTACAGGCGTTAGGTGAATATCCAATAAAAGGCAGTGTACATTTTGCAGTTATTGATGTGTGTGTTACGTTGATAAATGTCTATTTGATATGATAAATATATATTACACAATTAAAAACGTAGGAAAATTCAAATATTTAGACAAATAGTCAGAAAACATTTATAAAATTGTTAAATTAATGACAATTTTAAATCAGGTAAGATCTATTTATAATTAACCCGTTACAAGCAATTAAAAATGAATTCAAAATCATATTCTTTTGTTTGTTATAATAAAAGACTTTTTAACTGTGAAAATCATATATCAAATTTCACTGTATTTTTATAATTATATTTAAAAATATGTAATTATGTATATATAAATTTTTATATTTTTCTTTGTATATGCATTGTACATACAGGTGCGGAATTTTATGTGTGTTGAATTTTATTTTAAATATTAGTAACTGATTTTCACATAAACGTATTATAGCTGATTCACAAATAAAAAATGCATTTTCACAAATAAAAAATTTTAAAGGGATTACTATTATAACCTTATACAAAGAAGATAATTTCCAGTGTTCTATTGATGTTAAAGCTAATCTTTGTTCTAAAAAGGTATATCAATAATTTTTATTTTATATTGTATTGTAACTTATTGTTCAAATATTCTAGCAAAATTTTATGTTAAATTAATTATGTTTAACAGAAATGGAAATATTTGGTGATTCTTCAGTTAATAATTACTCATTAAAAACAATTAATATGACACCACCGTTGGAAGAACCAAAGCCTAAAAATCCTAAAGCGAAAAAGAAAAGAAAAGTGATTTTTTCTTTTGCACGAAGAAGAAGGTCTAAAAACAAATTGAAGAAGTTGTCAAAAAAACAAAATACATTGGAGACTTTGTATAAATTCTGTAAGCCAGTTGTTGTAAGTGTTAAAAGATTATCAGTATCAGAGATAAAACAATGGTGTGAAAAAGACTCATCTCCCTGTCAAGTAGAAAATGTATCAACACAATTGAAAAAATCAAAATCAAAGAATAATGTACAAAAAAGTAAAAAATTCACCAGAAAAAAGATAAATAACGAAAGTCATTTAAATTCAAAAAATGAAATGAAATCTCCAAATACATTATTTTCTCAAGAAACAGATATTAGAAATAAGAAATTACTTATAGAAGATTTATTAAGAAATGTTAAACAACCATACATGAAATTACAAAGAATAGACAAAGTGATTAATAAAATAGCACAATCATTTGCAAAAACAACTACAGTTACAGAATGTGAAGCAAGTATCCAAACAGAATGTAAAACAAATGTCCAAACAGAAGAAATAAAAGAAACTATAAACAGAAGCATAAAAGAAATTGAAACTCAAGCTGAATTAAATGTATCTGTACCAGAGGTGCAAAAATTACCACTAGTAAATATTAACAAAGATGAGTATCCACAAAATCCTGAAATTGAGAAGGTGGCAGTTAGCTTTCATACAAATGAAACTTTACAATTGAATGAATGCACAGACTCAAATTTTATTTCTAATTCTGATACTGAAATTGTTAAAAATACTCATAAGAAATGTTTCAAAAGGAAATGTGAAGTCATATGTGATTCTAACACAGATAATAGTAATGATAATGCAAATAGTTCAGAAATAATTTTGAATGAAGTGAAGAAATTAAGAATGAATTTACCAGGAAAAATAAACAAAATGAATATAGTAAATGAAAAACACAATATTATTGAGGCAAAATTATCCCCAAAGTTACTTATTTGTGGTGAATCATACAAAGAGAGTTTAATCGCACAAAAAAATGTTGATGCTCCACTACAAAAGCTAGATATATTAAAAAGATTAGCTAGCCTATGTGATCCTGAAGATGATGAATATAATAACGACAATGATGATTCTGATAATATAAATAAAAATGCTGAAAAAGATAATACTTCCAGTTCTATACCTTCCACATTAAATTTTAAATCTGTTGCAGAAGATAGTGCTTCTATGAAAGTACGCAATGATGACAGTATACCAATAGAGAAATCAATTCTAGAAAACAAAGAGATTCAAGAATCAATGCAAGAATTATTTTGTTCCGATAAAAACTTCTTACAAAGATATAAAATATTTAAAGAATTAAAAGTCTTCTTAATAAAATTGGATACTTTGAAAGATTTTCATACTAAACATTCAGCTACAGAAATCGAAAAAATAACTAACAAATTTATGAATTCTTTTGTAAATTTGAATTCATCAAAAATTCAACATAATAACCAAAGATCTATAGATAAAATATCTTTTACTTTGGATATTTCAAAAGATTCTAATGTTAACTTCGAAAAATCCATAGTTTGTACAATTCCTAAGAAAATGCAAATCATATCTAAGTTACCTAAGAATTCTTCAGAAAAATCCTCTTCAAATTTAATTAGAAATATGAAGAGAAAGGAAAGGTTAAAAATTGGAAAAGCTTCTCATAATTTAAGAAAAATTTTTGATGATAAGTCTAAAAACAGACAACATGTTATTAGTAATTTGAACAAGAATTCAAATGTTCCAACTCCTACTATTAAATCTTCTTTACAAGAGTCCAGCAATAAAACTTTTGAATTATCAAATATGATAGAAAATGTTAATATAAACAAATCTATTAATAAAATGTCTTCCTTAAAGAAACAGATGCCAGAAATTTCTTCAACTGAAAATTCTGTGAAGTCAGTTACTGATGCAAGATTTCCAGAAAAAGCAGAAATTAATACACCTCAGATTACTAATTTCAAATCACATTTTTCAAATCAAAGTGAAAAACTTGAGCAAACGACATTTGTATCCAAAACACATAAAAAATCTACAAATGTTACAGCTACAAATATAAGTGCTTCAACTTGTTATTCTTCCACAATGTCTCTTAAAAAACCTAAAGATAAGAAAGATACTTATAAATGTATTGTTTGCGATTTTTGTTTTGAAGATTATTCTAATTTACAACAACATTTAATTATACATACACAAAAACAAAATGATAGTTCATTAAACACGTCCAACTCATTAGCTGAAAAATCTGAAGAAACAATATCTCAATCTTCAGAAGCAGAGGATCCAGAATTGTCACAAATGTCTGAACACAAGAACGTTGAACAGGCGTCATTACAATGTGAAAATAATAAGCAACAAAAGGAAAGAAATACTGTACCAAGAGACTTGTTAAATAAAAAAAAGAGAAAAAATAAGATTAAATTAAAGAATAAGAGTCAATGTACAAGTCATTCAAATGAATGTAGTATTTGTTCAAAAATTTTTCCAACAGTGACTGATTTGGCAGCTCATATCTTTTTACATACAGAGAAAGAATTACAACAAGCATATAAACTTGCGAAACAAAAATTGGTGGAAAGTGAAAATACAGAAAGAGAAAAATGTAAACAAACTAGAGCTGAACAAACTGAACAAATTGAAGAAACTAGAATTGAACAAAATCTTGAAAGTGTAAATAGGACTGTAGATAGTGCAATTGAAGGAATTCACGAAATTAGTGATAAGGAAGAATCATTCCTCGCACAAAAATCAAATGAATTAATTACAAAAGATCCAGAAATTAGAGATACAGAATCTACTGCCTTGAAAAAACACGATTCACAAAGTATAAAATTAGATCTATTGTCAAAATCGAGTAAAGACAAAATAAATAAAATAGAAAGTAATAAAAGAGCATTCACAGTATGCAAATGTCATAATAAATCGGGAACTAATAAAAATACTTTACAAATTGAGATAGTTCTTCTTTGTCACACTTGCAAAGTATTATTTAGAAGTATAGAATGTTTCGAAACTCATTATCGTCTTCCTGAATATACAAACTGTAATCAGAATCGTTTAACTAGTAGTCGTTCTCCAAATTTATTCTGCGCCAATTGTGGTATGATATTTAGTTCGGTTCAAAATGTACGTCAACATTTAGAAGTACATGTTCGTTTTAAACAGAACTGTATAATGGATTTTCGATGTAACATTTGCAAAGTCATATTCCTTGGAATAGGAACTCTTTTTTACATTCATTGGTCGAAGCATTCAAGAAATCCTTTCTGGATGGCTAGTGAACAATCGTTTCCAAAACATTCCATAATAAACTCAAAACTAAAGAAAATAGATAATCTTTCTACACAGAATGCAATGACTTTGAATAGCTCTGTGGACCAATATATACAAGTTGCAGAACACGTGTGTAATAATTGCAAATTACCTTTTGTTACTCAAGATGATTTAAAGAATCATGATCCAAGATGTAAAGAGTTTAAGACATTTCAAGATACATCTGTTGTAGAGAACTCTAATTCACATGTAACAATAAGGATAAATTGTAGTTTATGCAATGATACCTTTATTGATAAAAAAAGAGAATTTTATAATCATATAAAAAATAAACATAATTGTAATGTAGATCCTCAGTTTGTATGTCTATCATTCCCACTTGCTAAAGTGGTATACATTTGCAATGTTTGCATGGCAATGACTGAAAATTTAGACGCTTTTGAAAATCATTGGTTGAAACACAATACAACTCATATAAACTTTACTTGTACACATTGTAATAATATATATTATAACAATTTAAACTCTTTCATAGATCATGCTGAAGAACATAAAAGTGATACTAATGTAGTATCTTGTACAGTAAATTATACAAAAGCAAAATTGGTCTGTGAATTTTGTAATACTGGTTTCGAGTCTTCTCAAGATATGTATGAACATATTGTTACTCATAACACAAGTAATCAACAAACGTACTCTAAGATTGATCAAATTACAAATCAGGATAGCCCTGCATCAGCATCACAGACAAATTGCACTTCCAGTTCTGTAAAGAACATTGGAAAAGAGATAGAGAAATCTTTAGCAATGGAAGCTCAAGTAATGGAAAAAATTAATGAAATTTCTCCATTAGGATTTAATATAGACAAAGATAAAGAGAAACTAATCAGAGTATTAGAAGGAAGTGAAGATGATTCTGAAAATGAATTGATAATAGACTTGCCAAATCAGTCAGAAGAATCTAATGAAATATCAACAGGAGAAGAAAATAGGGAAAAGCAAACTACATCTAATCTTATTTCAGATAAATCTTCTATCAACCAAACTTGTGAAATGTCAGAAAATAATATAACTAAGACATTAAGAACGAATACAAATGTCCAAGTGTCTTCACAAAATATTCCACTTTCAGAACCTAATGAAAATGTTACAGATTCTGTTTTTACTGCCAAAAACATAAATCCTCAAATTTCTTTACAAACATCCAATTCAAGCGCTAAATCCACAAGTGTTTTGCAAAATTCAGTTACGAAAGACGTAAAAATTATAGAAAATAATGAAAGTTGTGACACTAGCTGTGAAATTTTAACTGGAAAGGAAGAAGAATTAACAACTTTAACAAAACAGTCACCGAAGAAACAAAGTTCACCAAGACCAAAAGGATATTTAAGAGTGAAAACTCTTGCAGAACTTACAGGCTCTGCACATTTCTGTAAAATTTGTAATTGTGCTATTGAAAATGCTAATGAATTAGCTAAACATTTTAAGACTCACAATACTTCAAACAAAGATAATAACGATCACGAAATTAGAGAAAAAGAATTAACTTCAAAACCATTAGAAACAAATAAGTTTGGTCTTTATCCTTTATCAGTCCTTAAAAAAACACTTACAAAATCTAATACTATAGTAACAAACAGTCAAAAACCACAGCAATTACAAATAAATACAAAACAGGACAGACATTTACCTTCTTTGCAAAACGTAACATCAGCATATCATAAAAATTTACCACTTTGTAATTTCGTTCGAACGACAACAGTTATGTCACGTTCGGCTACTTCGAAATCTGATGGTATACCAATCAAAGTAACAGCAAATACTTCAAATATACCGAACAGTCATACTAACATGCCGTATGAACAAAGAACACGTGTAACGTCGTCTATCAATGGAAATAAACAAAACCCTGCTGTTATGACAAATTCAAGTAATGATCAATATAAATGTTTTTATTATAATTTTATTTCAAATAATTTAGTAAAATTGATATTCTATAATTTACCAGGTAACCTTTCATTTTGTCAGAAGCAAAATTTGGAATATTGGATCCAGAGGAAAAAATTAGAAAAAATTGATAACAGACCAATAAAATCCAAGATGGATCAAAATTCTGAACTATATCAACAAACAATTCAGACAAGGATTGAACGTGCTCCTTCATCTGCCTGTTCTCAATATTCTTCTTTTACTGCAGGCACTTCAAATAACAGTAATCAAATGCCCAAACAAAATCAAGCGAAAATAGTTAATCAACCAGAAAATACTTCCTCTATTTATTATAAAAGTCCAAGACTTGCTAATGGTGGAATGTCAATAGTGATTAATCAGACTGCACCTATACAGAATATACCCACAATAGGAATCCTACAGCAGCCAGCACAGCAACAATTATATCAGCATCAAGTTTACAGTGAACCAGTGAGAGTTATGAATGCAGAATATGTGCAACAATCACAGGTATATTGGTTAATTACTTAAATAGGAAATGTTGATACAGTTCATATTAACTTATCAAATCTCTCTCTATAGAAAAATATATAACCGTATATATAGAAAAAAATATAGAAATATGTATAACATGTAATGATTTGGACCTTTTATAAAAAAAAAACTGTTATCGGATTGTTTAAAGAATTAATTAAATTATCAATATATTTCGTAGTACATTAATTTTTCATTTGCAGAATTTGGTTAACTGTTCTGAATCAAATGGTGTTTATCAACTGATAAATAATCAGTATGAACTATCAAATAGACAACCAAATGTTACAGCTTATACAGTTAGATATGTATGTCCTTATTGTGTGAAAAATTATACTTCTGAGGACTTCATGCAAATACATATAAATAAGGATCATAATTTTGTATGTAATATTTGTAATTTGCGTTTATACAATTTCAACGATTTATATCTCCACAAACTTAATCATAATGTAAATTCAGTGTAAATTAATATGCAAATTTTAAGATAAGTACGAAATTAAAAATATTACACGAATTATTAACTAATAAAACTATGATAAAAATGTATTTATCGTTTGATATTTATATATAAATATTCAACAAATTAAAATTATATATCTTATAGCCATATAAATATAACGTATAAATTAATTTTTTTCACCAAGCATTAAATGAACTAAGATAAGTTATTACTATTTATCTATATTATATTAGTATTTTAACAAAGTAAATATTTCGGTATTCTTATCGAAACATTTCCTTCTTTTCTTCATATATCATACTTGTTTTAAAAGTAAGATATAATTCTTATATTACTTCATTGAACTCCATGATTTTAATATTGTATTATCATATTATATTTATATTATATTTAAGTATATAACTAATTATAAGCTGAAATGTATCTCATATTGAAATTATGTATCGCATAAAAAAACTATTGCGTATATACAATGAATTACAGTGAATCCATTTATTAGAATAAAATTTGCGTCTAATTAACTGAACTTTTATCAGTATAATTTATTTATCTAATTTATTTATCAGGCGAACATTAATTACTTTGACAAAAAATTATGAATCTCTCCATATATGTGATTGTCCCAGATCATAAATAGAATTCTATTATAATTGAAGTAACAAGTAACAATGTTGCTCGCCAGCTGTTTGAGGTACAAGATATTTTTATATTTATATTTATAATAATTGTGATTGTTGAAAAATAATGTTAACAAATATCATAGATAAGGAATATAAAATGGATGATGTTCGACTGTCAATAAATAGTTGACTGTATACATGTATGCATGTCTCCTTTATTCGGCACTTTGAGCTTTTCATTTCTTTACAGTAACCGTCACTTCGATCTGCGTAATCGATAGAAATACAATTAATAGGGCAATTGTTACAAGCAACGAGAAAGAAATCATGTTTACTAATCTAAAAATTCGAGTTTCTACATCCTTGCTCGTAACTATTGCGCAGGGGGACGAAATTACTCTTGGCGTAAATGACTAATCGTAAGTTTAATTAGACTCTGATATTACGCGTTCTCATTTATTGCAAGTAAATCGAAGGATTGACCTGCGTCGTAAAAAAATTGTTAGATAAAAACCACGTGATCTAGAATTAGATCGGTGAAAAAAGTGGAACTTTTCATCGCGTGATTTTTTTCATTTTCGAGTATTAAAAACCAGAAGTATTTGAATCCTTCGCTTTACTCATAGCATGCATTAACGCTTTGAGCTTCTCCTCACTAATTTCAATATTTTAATAATTAATATTAAAGAACAATGATCGCGCCGTAAAATAATCCTGAATTTAAAACATCTTTTTCTTTTTTAATTTGATAACGTGTACAAAGCAACGACGTGCAAAATTCGACAAAGTAAGTGTACATTACTTGAGATTACGATGTTCGACGATTACACATTTGTTAAATATTAATAACTATAAACACGACTTCCACATAATATAAATGATCAGGCTCGAAGCGTTAATTTCATAAACAACCCCATTTAAGCGTGATAAAAACGTGATTAAAAATTAGCCCTTATAATATCAATTGTATATCAAAAATAAATGAAAATATTCAAAAGGAGAAGAGTTACAAAGATATTGATGGAAATTTATTGTTTTTCAAGTGAAGTGAAATTAAGTACTTAATTTAGGGGATTGTTTTATTACGCTCAATAAGGGTTCAAGGATGGTCGTACTGTAATAAATAGTCCTTAAATTAAAGTAAGCCTATAATATAATTGCTCGTGTATCGGTATTACGAGCAGAGTCGTGTACAATACACTTTTCATTTATCCTAAAATTTGGCACGTGATTCACGTTTTCAACACAAACGTCTGTTGTGTCAACTTGAAAGAACGAAAAGGTTTTCCTCGGTTTATAGTGCGATACGTGACGATACATGATATAAAGCTAGATGTTAATGGGAATTATACTTGAACCTTGAACGAAAAGAAGAGGAAGGCTACTTACTATGTCGCAACTATGTATTTGAAAGTCTCACGTAAAAACGAAATTTCTAGGAAATAATTGTTATTCACTTTCAATTAGAATAAATTATTAAATATTTTTCATTTTGAAAGTTTTCAAAAAGATTTTAATCAGATAAAGATCGATGAAATGTTGATGTAAATATAATCGTTAATTATCGTCCAACATCTATAGAGATGTTGCTTTCTTGATTATTTTCGTTTTGAAAATTTGAACGATGAAACTGAAGAGAGAAAACGATAATAATAATAACAGTAATAAATCTGAAAAGATCGCAAATACATAGCGAGAATAGTGTATACTATAAATAATTCTACCTTAACGATTAAGTTCGCTATGAAAGACCATAGTGGTTTTCACGAGGCTATCCTCCAGGAATCGATCATTAACTCTCGAATCCTCTTTTCGTTTACGTTTTAATAATACTGATATAGGTTTTCGACGTTTATCTCGCACTTAGAAGCTTCTAATCGTCGCTCTTACAAAAGTACGGAAAATTGACGTCCGTCGCAAAAGAAGAGATAATCCGGCGCAAGGAGAAATAAACAAGAACAAGGAAAAAAGAATGCATTAAAGTGACGAATTGTATTAAAATTGTATTAATGAAACAAATAAAGATTTTGAAGAAGAGAATTGCATCATAATTATAATATACCAGGTATTATAATCGAGATTCCGTTGCAGGCCAGCGTATAAGTGTCGGAAAAACCGAAATTATCGTTCGATCATTTTCAATCATGAATATCGAAATTTTCAATTTGAAGTTTGAATAGAAAGTTTCAAATGTAAGGCAGTACTCGTAGTTTTCAGTGGTCCGGTTACAATCGTCTGACCCATTTCTCCCTTGTACTACTTAGAAACATCTATCGCTCCGACTGACCAATGCTCGACTTGGATCACTTCTTCGACTCACGTTCCTTTCCACGTTAGAACCTCGATTGAAGCAAAGCTGTATGAAATCAGTTGATCAAATTAATTGCACAATAAATATGTTGTTCCTTTCGATGTAATTTATATAAAATAGTGGAAATCTGCAGGGAGAAACTTAATTATAGAACCGTTTTAATTGCAACTTCGTTTCTCAATCGTTCGAGTGATACGATAATTAAAGAAGTTTCTTCGTACTACAGTTCTTTTTTTTTTTTTTTTTTTTTTTTAAAAAA